AACAAACCCAACTACCCCCTAGCTGACCCGAGGTGTACTACGAGATACTCCTGAAACCTGGTTTCACCCCTCCTTCTGGCCCTCTCTACACCCTATCCCCGTCAGAGCTTACCGCCCTAACAGGATAGATTGACGAAAATCTTGATAAGGACTTCATTCGCCCTTCCACCTCCTCAGCTGCATCCCTAGTCCTGTTTATCAAAAAGAAAGATGGCACCTTAAGACTCTGCGTGGACTATCGAGGGTTGAACGAGGAAACTGTCAAAGATCGTGGACTCCTCCCCCTGTTAACAGAAACCTTCATGAACATTGTGGAGGCTAAAATCTACTCAAAGATCAATATTCGTGGGGCCTACAACCAAGTCCTAATAGACAAGAAGGACAAATGGACGATGGCCTTCCGTACCCGATATGGGCTTTTTGATTCAAATGTCATGCTATTTGGCCTTACCAACGCTCCTGCCACCTTCCAGGCCTTCATCAACAAGGTCCTACGCCAGGAGCTGGATAGATTCTGTACAGCCTGCCTTGATAATATTCTTGTGTATAGCAAAAATGAAGAAGAATACATCAAGCATGTATGCTATGTGTTACAGGCATTGCAGGAGGCCGATCTAGAGGCCAAACCCCAGACATGCGAGTTCCATGTCACTCATCTGGAATACCTTGATTTCATCATCAGCCCCAAGGGCATCCGGATAGACAACACCAAGGTGGAAACTGTTACTACCTAGTCCGTACCCAATTGCATACGTGAAGTCCACGCATTCCTAGGCTTCTGTAACTTCTACCGACGGTTCATTCGTGCCTTCTCGCGGCTGGCGTGCCCCCTCACTACCCTCACCAAAAACAATTGGCACCTTGTATGCACTCCTGAGTGTCAACGTGCTTTCAAACAATTAAAGAAAGCCTTCACCATGGCCCCTGTCCTCGCCTACTTCGATTTTCGCAAAACAGTGATTATTGAAACCGATGCCTCCGACTGCGTCTCTGCTGGTGTCATGTCGCAAAAGGATGACAGTGGACGCCTCCATCCTGTTGCCTTTTATTCTCGCAAGCAGAGTCCAGCCAAATGCAACTACGACATTTACGACAAGAAACTCATGGCTGTGGTCAGCGCCTTCGAAGAATGGCAATGTTACCTCCTCAGAAGACAGGTGACCATCATGACAGACCACCTCAACCTCAAGCACTTCACTACCAAAAGGCTACTGAACAACCGGCAGGCCCATTGGTCCGAATTCCTGTCTCAGTTCAACTACTGGATCAAGTACCGGCCCAGAAAGGTAAATGGCAAGGCCGACGCCTTGACCCGGATAAAAGATGAGACACCAGAAGAGGTGGAGGAATGGAGAAGCCATAGGACCCAAGTGGTGTTAAAGTCTCAGCCTCTGGGTTTGTTGGCAAACATTACGCTCCCTACTGGAGCATCCCCGATTGAAGATCTTTGGCAAGAGGCCTATGAAGCTGACATGATTCCAATCCAGGTCCTCCGCGCCTTTGACAAGGGTGACCAACACTCCCGTCTCCTATCGCTGCACGAGTGAAAACGTGAGGGGGATTGCCTACTCTACTGCGATCAGATTTACGTTCCCAGGCACCATGAGTTACGCCTCCAGCTGATACAAGATTCTCACAACCGGCCCTTAGCAGGACACCCCGGACGTGCTAAGACCCATGAGCTCATGTCCTGACGTTACGTTTGGCCTGGCATAAGACGAGATATTGGATACTTCGTCGCCAATCGCCATATCTGTCAACAAAGTCGCACCTCCCAACACGCCCCCTTTGGTATCCGGCACCCGCTACCGATACCTGACCGCCCCTGGGAACATATATCCATAGACTTTGTTACTGGCCTACCTTGGAGCCAAGGGTATGATGCTATCCTGGTAGTGGTAGACCAACTGTCTGAAATGCGCCAACTGATCACCGGTCGTACCACTATCGACGCCCCTACCCTGGCCGACTTGTACCTTCACCATATCTGGAAACACCATAGCCTTCTAAAGACCATCACCTCCGACTAAGGTACTTAGTTTACTGCAGACTTCTGGAGAACCATGTGTGAAAGACTACAGGTTGAACAACAGATGGCCACAGCCTTTCACCTCCAAACAGATAGCCCAATAGAACGTGTCAATGCCATTATAGAACAGTACCTTCGAGCCTTCGTCAACTACCAACAGGACCACTAGTCCCTCTAGCTTCAAGTTCCTATGGCAGAGTTCGCAGCCAACAACCATCCCTCAGAATCTACTAGTTTGTCCCCTTACTTTGCCAACCACGGCTATGACCCCTATATGTACTTCCTAGACACCTCCAACGAAGCCTCCGATGAACCTCGAGCAGGCACCTTTGTGGAACACATCAAGGATATCCACGACCACCTGAGAACCGAGATCCCCTTTGCCCAGGATCGGCAACAAGAATATACCAACAAGGGGAGGCTCCCTGCCCCTCACTTCCAGATTAGGGACCATGTCTGGCCAAATGCCAAGAATATTCATACCAAATGATTCTCCCTAAAGCTGGAGGACAAGTATTTCAGCCCTTATCTTGTCCTTGCTCAGATAGGAACCCATGCCTACCGGTTAGACCTCCCGCCTACCATGAAAATCCACAACATGTTTCATGTCTCCCTCCTTGACCTAGCCTCACATGACCCCCTTCCAGGCCAAGAAATACCAGTGCCACCCCCCGTAGAGGTCAATGGCAAGCAGGAATAGTAGTTGGAGGAGGTCTTAGATGCTAAGTTCGTCCGAAACTACCTACATTACTTAATCCGTTGGAAGGGGTATGCAGAAACTACCTGGTAGCCTGCTGACTCCGTCAACAGGCTCCTAGCTCTGGATCGGTTCCATGAACGCTACCCCCACAAGCCTGGGCTCTTGCCTGAATAACTCGCCTCAAGGGACTTCGGCGTCGGAGAGGGGGGCTAGTGTCATGGCCGCCTGGCTATGGAGACGGAATATGCATGAAGTTTTGGTTGCATATATTGGTTGTGGTTTTCTTGGTTGCATGGTAGGATTTCCTTTGTATAAATGAATGGAATACGTTGCGGCACAATGGAAGACAGCGGAACTTAACGGAAGGATTGTAGCTGCATGTGGTGCCAAGAACTTTCCTTTGTATTGGTGATCATGGAGGATTTCCTTAATATATGAAGGGGTGTGCCCCTTTATATTTTACTTTCTTTACACAATCTGGTAATCTCTTTCGGACACCTGTACCTAGGAATTATAGTACTCTCTATCATCTGACATCCTCTTGAACCCCTGAACCCTGACCCTGAACTCCTGATGCCCCCGAGCCTTGTACAACTCGCTTCGGTTGTACCCCCGCACCTAGACCTCATCTCCAGAATCCTGCCTGTCCTGATCGTAGTGTGCCTTGGGCTACCCAACTCTCAGACCCTGCCTATTACACTGACGCAGGATTTATTTTCGCTGATCATAAAATATACATGTAGGAAACAAACTAGAAGAACATGTAAAAAGCTCATACTCAGAGCCCTAGTGACTCTTTATATGGCTACTCTTTACCTGGTATGACTCATATCTTGTATCACATAAACCTTGTGACTTATAACCATGAGTCATGTAAAATCCATCAGCTGACTCCTGTGAGTCGTTGCGCAATATGCCTTAAACCAATCAAAACTCAATAACCAAATTGGGTGTACAACTCGCATCACCTGAGTGAAACCCATGACTCATAGCTTAAGTCATGTGCAAAAATCATAACATTGTATAGGCTTCGTTATGGGGCCCCGTTTCCATGGAGCAGGGACAAAATAACCTAGGTTATTCTGCTTAACTGGGTCCAAAAACCATCCAAATCAAACCAAAACTGAAGGAACTAGAGTGATTTGAAGTTACTAAACTTCAAAGACCTCTAACTCAGTCAGTTCTTGTCCAATTTGGACGATTTTTGGCTTAACTTGCAGTTAATAACCTGCTCTTGGCGCCCCATTTGTCAGAAATAGGGCCCCATAATGAACGCTAATATTATGTGACTCACAATTGTGAGTTACAAACAAGCAAATATAATAACCTATAGTATACTAGTATGCGTCATGTGAAATTCCAACATACCTATAGCTTGGAATCCCGAACTATGTAAAATCTACCTTGCTTAGTCACAGTTTGTGACATGGTTGCAGCTGAACAGGGCCTAAGTATCAACTGATACTTGAAACAAAATATAAAATAAACTGAGTATCAACTAATGCTTGAAATAAAATATAAAACAAACGAAGTATCAACTGATACTTGAAATAAAACATAAAACAACCTAAGTATTAACTAATACTTAAAACAAAATATAAAATAAACTAACTGAGTACCAGCTTCAGTTACAGTATAAGAAACATTTAACAATTTTTTTTTAACTTAAAGTTTAACTCAGAGATTCAAATAGTTGAAATTCAGGCTATAGGAATTGCTCTATAAAAACTCAAAGACTAATTTCTGGACAGGAGTTCAAAATCTATTTTAAGACATCACATTTGTATGGGATTTTGCATAGCAACAGACTTCTTCAACTTTATGTCTCTGTATTGGCATCTAAGATTGTCAATAAAAAATTGATAAATTTATACTACTAACTCCTTATGGATGTCTATCATATTATTAGAGTTTAGGGGACAGGATTTGTTGTGGTTGCTCCTGGAAGCAAATCAAAAATGGGGAAATTTGTGTAGAAAACCCAGGGGGGCACATTTCTTTTGTCGCCGGGATCCTACATTGGCAGGGTGCAACCAGCGTTTTGCAATTTTCGTATTTTGAAAGCGTCATGGCAACCCGACGCACCCTAAAACATCAACTACCGCCATCGCGTCTCCCTCACATTATCATACTGGCAGCCCTCCCGCCCACATCCCCAACTACCCTCTCCTCTCTTCCACCACACATTTTTTCTGCGGGCCCTTATTTTGATAGCTTCGGTTTTTTTTTCTTTCCACTTCCCAGTCTTGGATCGTGATCGGGTACGATAACATGGAGTTTAGGGATTCCAATCAGCCGCAAGCTCAGTTGGTCGGGGAAAATGAGCCGATCGAGGTTGTCCTTGAGGTCGGTGGCAAGTGTTGTTATATTGGTTTCGTGATTGCTAACGAACTGAATGAATGTGTTATAGAACCTTGGTTTTTTGGGCCTGAACGGGGAGACTAAGGTCAAATTATTTACACAAGGCTACGACACCGACTCTGTGCCTATCTCCAGTGCGTCTTTATTTGCTATTGCCAACAAGCGCGGTTTATTTGCAGCTGCTACGTTTTCCAGTAGGCGCCTCTCTCGTGCTGATTGAACAGGCCGCTGACTCTTCCCAGACCTTGTCGTTGGAAGCACCTCGTCCCTTCGCGAAGCTTTCGCCAACACCACCGAAAAGATTTCGCTATATAACTCTCGAATTTCCCTTTCTTTACCGACAAACATTTCCCATGTGGCATTTACAGCGGATGAATCTCACCTTGTGCTAGGCTCATGCTCCGGAGGCCTTGCGATATATCTCGTTAACGACCTTTCTTCTGCCGGTAGCGATGTGAAACCTGTGTTCGAGTTGGGCACGGATGGTGTTTCATTGCGAGAATTAAAGCCCAATCCTACAGTGCCGGAGTTAGTGGCTATTGTTACCTTGGTTGGAGAGGTCCGGATAATCAATATAGACGCAAGGGGCTTTCTGAAGAGCTCAAGCGGAGATGTGGCACTAAAGAAAGAAGCTTCAACGGTGTCATGGAGTCTGAAGGGAGAACAAATTGTTTGTGGGATGGGAGACGGAACCGGATGGCAGATGACCCCCGGCGGTGAGGTGACGGCTGTTTTGCCGCCGGTCCCAGGCCTGACGAATCACTTTATCTCGTCAATTGTTTGGGTTGAGACTGATGCGTTTATCACTACGCATACCCCGGTCCCGTCCGGTGATGCAAATAATGAATCCATTTTTTATCTGTTGACGCGAGATGGTACATCATATCGATACATGAGGCTTCCTGACCCTGTTCCGCCGTTTGGGATGGAATCCCGAACCCCACCCTACTTTTTCCACACCACGATTCGGCAGTATGCCCCAGGCATAAAAGATGCCATCGTGTTTACCAGTACCTGCGCGTCGGACGTTGGCCTTGTTTGCCGGTTCTCTACAGCATTGACCGGCGATCCTGCAGTTCCGGCTGATAGCTGGATCACCGCTAGCATCGGCGATGATCCCCGGAGAGCCCAAATGCCTTTATCCGATGAAAGCTTGTGCGATACGTCGCCAATTGGAATGGCTCTGGATTTGAGCAATAAAGCGAATGTGAAACGCCCCGTAGGCGGAGAGGAAATTGAGGAATCGCCAGGACCATTACCAATTCTTATGGTGCTTAATCACGAAGGATTGCTGAGTGCTTGGAATGTTATCTACAACGATGCTGTTGAACAGGGCGAAAGATATGGTGGGATGATGGTTTACGTAGCGCAGGAAGGATCCTCGCAGTCGGCGCCGCAAACGCCGCAGCAGCCAACGTCTCAGAGGCAGTCGGTTCAGGGTGTAACCCCCAGCCCCGCATTTGGGGGGAGCTCTTTCGGACAGCCACCAGTTTCTAATGGCAATGGCACATTTGGCCAATCCCCAAGCCTAGGGTGCTCAAATCCATTTGGAAAGCCCACGGCCAGTGCTTTTGGGCAGTCTGCGGCGTCACCGGCATTTGGTCAACCCTCTGGCATCGGTGCGAGTGGGGCGGGCGCGTTTGGAAAACCTGCTCTTGGAGGTTCTATGTGGGGTTCCACTTCAGGACCTTCTCCTAGCACAGCCGTCCCAACTCCAGGAACCGCTTTTGGTCAACCCTCGGCCCTTGGGACAAGGCCTGTATTTGGCCAACCCGCCCCTGGCATACAATCTGTGTTTGGCCAACCTGCGCAACTGGGATCACCTACTACTGCTCCTGCATTCGGGTCGCCTACTCTTATAGGGGCGAATAAACCCGGAGCTACTGGATTCGGCGCTGTTTCCTCCCTTGGAAACCCTCCTGCTGGCGGGAGCCCGTTTGGGGCTGGGTCTGCTTTTGGAAGTGGGAATGCGTTTGGTGCCTACGCGAATAAGGGGGGATTCTCAGCGGCAGCTGCGGTAGGTAGCGGAGATAGTAAACCTATATGGGGCACAGGTGGGAGTCTAGGTTCTGATAGCACGTCCACAGCCTTTGGAGGTGGTAATAATGCGCCCAGTGCATTTGGCTCTGGGGGCACCGATTCCTTCAAAATATCCAGTGCGTTCGAGTCAGGGTCTGTATCTACCTCTGGGAATAAGCCTTCCTCTTCCAGTGGTAGTTTTGGCAGCTTTGGAATGGGGCTAGGGGATGCGCTTACTTCTACGCCCTCCGTCGTTTCTCGCCCCGTCCCACCCGCATCGCCGCCCGTTCCGGGGAGGGTATCCGATCAGAATATCAGAGATGCAACTATGGAAGATAGCGATGAGCAACCTGATGAACCGAGTGATGATGATGACATAATTTCTCCCGGGGCAGCAAAAGCCCGACAAGCTGTGCTCACTTCAACACTTGCGAAGCCAGACCTTCCCAGGGGTATCTTCGCGAGCACGAAAGCGGCGAGCTCCGGTACGTTTGTGGGCAGCTCGTTTTCGTCAGTTAATCAAGGCTCATCACCCTTCAGCTCTGTGCCCGGCCCTGCCTCAGGATCGCCTTTTGGTCGTTGGGGGGCGCAACCCAAGACACCCCTTGATGTTCCAAGTACTCCACCACCAAAGCCCCCCTTTGGTACTACTCCAAAGCTCTCGAGCCCGTTTGGTGCCCCGAGTAGACCTTTGACCTTTGCTCAGTCACCTGAAAAAATACTCGAATCCTCTCAACCAGTAGCGACAACGCCAGCAACTAGCTCACCTTCTCTGCCGCCGCTTCCACCTCTCCCATCATTTACTTCTACGGAGAAGGGCCTCGAGACACTTCCAGCATTGCCAGCAGACGAGTACTCTGAACCTGCATTATCGAATGAAGCATCATCGGTACCGTTACCCCCAGATCCTGAATCCCCGAAAGAATCAAGTGGTGCTGGGGCTAGTGAATTCCCTAGCCCGCCTTCCCCAGAGCCCAAGAGTCTGGGAGCGGATGATGAACGGGTCACTTCGCTGGACGGAAGTGATGGTGGCGGTGATGGGCACCAAAAGAGTAAGGGAGAAGATGATGAAGAGGGTGAAGGAGACAATGAGGAAGATGGGGAGGAAGATGGGGAGGAAGATGGGGATGACGAAGATGAGGATAGCAGCGAAGAGGACGACAGCCCACTATCCGAGGGGCTCGTATACGAACCTAAGCCAAAACTGCCCTCCGTAGCAAGTGGTTCCAGTACATCCAATATCTTTGGGCCCGATACAAGCTTTAAAGAATCGTTTAGTGGAGGTGTTGAAGAAAACGCGCCGTTCAGTCTTTTGGCTAAAAACCCCCCCCCGGTTAGCGGCAGTGATAGTGATCGATCAAGTTCGCCACCTACAGCCCCAAATCCGAAAAACCGCTCTCCGAGTGCGACTGTTGGCTCCCTGGCGGCTAAAACCAGGGAAAAGAGGAACAGTCCATTAGGTCGAGGGGGCATGCTCAATAGGCCGCCTAGGAAACCTGACGCTTCTAAAATACTTGATGCTCCTCTCCCTCCGCCTGAGGTTCTCGCATCTAGCAGCAAGCCTCAAGGGACTTCTCCTCTTCAACCTTCAGCGTCCCCCTGCATAGACAAACCAACTGAGAGTGGCCCGCTAGCTGCTCCAGCATTGCAGGCGAAGCAGGCCAGTCAAGAAAGAGAAGAGGCTCAAGAAGGAGAGGGGGATGTCCAGGAAGAAGAGGATGCCCAAGAAGAGGTCCCGGAAGAAGAGGAGGCCCCGGCAGAAGAGGAGGTTCAAGAGGAGGAGGAACCGGAAAGTGATCTGGATTTTGATAACGAGTACGACGATTATGATCCGGACCGGGTGCGGAATAAGTTGTTGAATTGTGACGTGAAACCTGTCCAAGAATTGCCGAAATTCAGGCGCAATGGGGAGGTTGAAGTCGCAAGCGTAAGCTACCTGCTCTATCCACCCAGGTTACTATATTAAGTTGACATTTCGAGCTTTAGGATTTCATTGGGGTATTCGATTCCATTTATCTTAGCGGTAATATGATGATTAATAGGCTTGGCCTAACTGTCCAAGGGCTCAAAGCCTACCATCTCGGCCAAGAAAGCCCACTCCCTGATGTTGACCATAAGGCAGCAAAGGATATGAAGCATTCACAAGACTGGAGGCTTTGTGAAATGGGCCAAATCAGGGAGATACTTGAACAATTGCTTGCCAGTGCAAGGGACGAAAACCAGGGAAACGATGAATTGGAAGCCAAATATCAAGCAGCAAGCAAAGAGTTCATTAAGCGTTGGTTTTCCACTACCCCCACTTTATTTTTGCGGCTTGGGATGCAACTGACGAAATTGGATAGTTGATATTAAAGATGCAGAGATTAAACGACTCCTCGCTGTTCACAACGATTCTCAGGCTGCTGCAATTGCTCGCGCCAGACCACTTGCGCCGGAACAAGTTTTACAACAACGGAAACTCAGGAAGGAGTACGCAAAAGTGGAAAGACTCCTTAAGGAAGCCGAAAAGGAAGTAACACAGCTCAAGGCCAAAATTGCATTCCGAGACAGGGACAGGCCTGGGGCCGTGGTTCCGCCAACCGTGGAAGCGGTCAAGAATACAATCATGAAATTGACAGGGATGGTTGAGAGAAAAAATGGAGATATTGATTACCTTGAAGAGCGTTTGAGACGGATCAGAATCAAATCTCGAAGCGTTTCCGTCACGCCGTCTAGGCCCAGAAGCCTAACTCCGAATCTTACTCCCCGAGGAGGGACACCCCAAAGATTTGAGACTCCAGAGAAATTGAGGTCATACGATCATAATATCTCAAGTGCTAGGTACTCGGCGAGTCCGTTGTTTGCCTCGGCAGATCTCTTGGATGTTGAGGAGGCTAGGGAGGAGATTAGAGCAAGGAAGGAGATGGGGAGGAAATTGAAGGACGCTCTGGAGAGATGCAGGCCTAAATTGACGACGGCGTCAATATAAAACGATAGAAATCAATCTTTCTGGTGGAAGGGATAGTAACTTGGCACCCTGTACTTTTAATTTAGTGAAATCAAAGTTCTGGTTTCCAAGTTTGCAACATTATCGCTTGCTGCGAGTGATTCGTGGTAACGGTCTAAAATTCCCCGATCGCATTACGGTGCGCTACGATCCCTCGCAGATCACGTCTCTCAAGTTTTAACTCGGGGCCTGGTCCTGGCCAATGCGCATAACAGGAGCCTGCGCACCCACAGGGCGTGAGAAGTTATTTATCCATAAAATTTTACCGAGTGACTGTCTATGACACAAAGTGATTCGTCATGAATAACCTTCTCTGATAACACACCTCATAGGTGGCTCACTTTTCCGCATCACCCTCCGGGCTCGTTCGTAACCGAGCGGGTGTATGGGGGAGCGCTCATTTTTCCATTCAAAGGGGCCAAAAGCACCGCCGACTCAGTATTCTGCGGAGCGGGCGGTAAACGCAATCCACAGGTTCCCCCAAACCGCGGCCTCGCATCTTGACCGATGCCTTCACTACGCTTGATGTCGAAGATCCGACCCCAAAAGCGTCTCAGGGGGAAGAGTCGTGGCTGTTGATACGTAGCAAAGATTCCTCGAAATCAGATGAGGCACTGGCGCTTAAAACACCTTTGCAGTCTAGTTCCATGTACTGTACTGTACCCATGCGTGGGAGCCAGCTACCAGTGCTATGTACACACACGTAGCACTGCACTGTGCTAGTACTGTACTCGAGCACTCGAGTACAGCACAGGTATCTACCTAGAACAAGAGCTTCTCCCCGCGTTGATGGTACGCTACTTACTCTGCGGTGGGCGTTGTGTGATACAGTGCTGTAGCAAAACGGGCTTCTCTTGCGTATGATAAATTTGGTACGGTAGCTGAAAGAAAGAAAAAGAAAGGAAAAAAGTGAGATATATTTTTTTGATTTTTTGATTTTTTTTATGTCGTTATTGTGGGTTTTTATATGAGGTATCATAGCTGTTATAGGGTACTTGTAGTAGAGACGCGCATTTATGGGATATAATTCATCCTAATTGAAAGGAATTTGCAACCATCTCAGTTCGGACTGACTTCGGGGTATTATGGATAATTTGCTTCGGCACGTATATATTTCAGCGGTCGAAAAGTAGCCAGTGACCTCTGCATAGGAGAATAGCCCAGTCTTTTCCCCTCTTGTTACATCCCTCCACAACCCACCAGTGGGAGTTCACTTGCCCCCTTGTCCCAAAACAAAAGCCCCCCGCAAAAAAGGAAAGAAGAAGAAAAAAGAGCACTTTATGAACAAAACCACAATCCGATAATGCCACTCCCCAATCTCCCAGATGAGATCCTCCTCCTCATCGCGAATCATTTGAACCCGGGAGACCTGAACAACTTCCTCTCCGCAAACAGCCGTTTAGCCGTCGTCCTTACCCCGCTTCTCCACGACCTCGCCGTCCAGGACAAGGACGGTCTGCCGGCGTTGGAATGGGCGGCAATCGAAGGCTACGAGGGCTTGGTGACCCTGGTCCTGGAGCGTAAGAAAGCCGAATGCAGGGACACTTGCTGGGCGAAGGGAGCTCTGCACCAAGCCTCAGCCTACGGCCACGAAGCCATCATAGGAAGGTTGTTGAATAGCGGTGTAGTCGAGGTGCACAGTCGGCTGGACGGGCTAACGGCATTGCACTACGCTTCCCGCTACGGAAAGGAGGTTGCGATAAAGCTGTTGTTGGAGCATGGCGCGGAGGTCAATGCCCGTGATGGGCGGTCAAACGATACAGCCTTGCACTTTGCCGTTCATGGGTACGAGTGCGTTGCGGATGGAAGGAGGATGGAGGATGAGTTGGGGGTTTGGAGGACGTTCGGTGGTCGACCCGGCGTTACCTGTTCGGGGATTCAAGAGGGCTTTCTGGGGTGCGTGAAGGTGCTCTTGGAGAAGGGTGCAGATGTCCGATTGAAGGATTCGTGCGGGAGAACCCCTCTTGATATAGCTCGGAAGTATAAACTTGGGGATGCAATCGGGTTGCTGGAAGAAGCCAGACTTAGGCCCAATCTCTGACGACTGGCGAACTCTCTCGATAAGATGTTTTTTTCCCCTCTCCTCCCATTGTGAGAAATGGGTTCATCGGGGCGCCTACCCGTCTCTTTCTTCCTGGGGCTACGGAAACGATTCCGAGCATTTCAACGTCAATGATATGGTTTGATTTTTGGGACTTCTGGAGAGGAATTTCTTTCTGTTGAAATACCTATGTTTCACTTTTACGATCGGATACGTCATGGAGCAAGTGAATGGGCACTGCTCAATCATTGCTTGCTGACCAGCGCCCCACTCCTGATCTGATATTGGCAGCTACAGTCGCAGTTCTCCTTTCCACCCGGCCCACTCGCAGATATCTCCGACCCCGTGTTACAAGTACCGTTATTTGCAAGTGCTTCCTATCTCAAGAGGCTGCTGTACTTATTATTACCCCTTTCGACCCCCCCCCCCCCCCACGACTAAGACTTTCCTACTTCACTCTACTTTACTTCCTTTTCCTAAATCTGGACAAAAAGTTCAATCGCAATACGTGTGAATCCCTCCTCGTCAGCCTTAAGACTAATGTGAAATTCGGCATCGCGAGCATCGATAATCTGAATCCTGCGTCATTGCACCGATCCGCAGGACCTTTTTGACTTTATTTTTGTTCATTTTTTTACGTTCGATGTTCCGCTGGATCTTGGTGCCATCCCGCTGCACCTATTCTGTCCCTCGCCTTTGAGGTAACTTACGATGCCGTAAATACGTTCGCGGCACATTCCCTTACCGCTGGTCATATCAGCTGGGCATGTTCGCCGGATTCTTCCCCTCTTCTCCTATCCTCGCCCCTTGCCTCCTTCCCCACAATCTGTCTCGTAAGCACGATCGTGCTGTCCCTAACGACCTCCCGCTTCCGTCGCCCGGTTTTCGTAATTCTGTCATTATTTCGGAACAATTGAGCGCTCCTCCCCCGGCTCTCCTGCGGTTTCGGAGGCGGGTGAGCTCTGCTGTGCTGTACTAGTACAGTGCGAACACTCAAGTACTGTAGGACTATCAGGTGATGTAACACTAATCATGGAATGTCAATCGATCGTACCAGTTTAACCCAGTACCCTCTCACTCCCAGTTCTTGAGGGCCCCCCCCCCCTCCATCGCCACCGCGAGCATCTCCGGACGAGGGGGCTCGAGAGAGGAAAAAAAAAGCCGGAAACAAAGAGCTCATCTTGTAACCCAATCAAGTTGGGTTTGAAACGAACATACCAGTGCTATGCTTCCCAGTCATTCGACATTTAAACCCTCCATCGTTACCCTGGCTGCCTCAGCCCATTCGCCGGCTCGGCGGCTTACGGTACTCCTTCGACCCTATTCGCGGCACGACAGCCGTTACCAACCCCACTCTGTTTTGAATACATGGGAGTGATTCCCCATGATGGTATCTGTGGGGGATGTGCTAATGGCTCGGTGGGGAGGGGGGAAGAGGAAAAAAAGGATAGGAGGGAAAAATTGAAATAAAAATAAGAGTCGAAAATCAATTGGTCCGATCCTCGATGGAAATAAAAGTGGAAAAAGGGTGGAGTATCGTTCCGACTGGGACTGGCATTTGATTTTTGGTTCTATCACAGTTTCCTGATCTCCCGTCTGATAGGTTACACGTTGTCCCAGTTGTGTTACAAAGATGGTTTTGTGGTGTTCGTTTTCACCCCCCAGTCACCGCCCGCCACGCACCTATTCAGCGAAGGGTATCGGGACGTGTCGAGCATACAGTAGGCAAGCAGGCAGAACTTTGCTGACACGAGTTCTTTTTACTCGGCCAGGAGGAGGAGGGGCATGATTGCTTTTTCTATCACTTTGGCAATGTGGTTTTGGGAGGCGCTATAGGTTATCCCTGGGATAGTAGCAGCAGCAGAGGGGAGGGAGGGAGGACTTGTAGCGGTCGATTATCGCTATCGGTCGTATCACCGGTAGGTAGACTATCGTATATCCTACACAATCCGCCACTGCACTATTAACACTCCACCATCATCAATCACCAAGGCAAAAAAAAAAAAAAACAGTCTGTCCGTACGAGTACTCGAGTAAACATAAAAGTAAGAGGGCTCAGGGGTAATTTTGCCTCATAGCCTTCCTGTACATCCTACCGTATTATTTTCCCCTACCCCCCCCTCTCTACCATTTCCTTTCACCACCGTATGACTTATCTTTTTCTAACCAAACCAGCATTTCATTTCATTTAATTCCATTCCCTTTCTTTCTTTTCTGCGACCCACCTCCTCTTAGTTGACCTAGGAAGGCAGAGGGGAAAAAAAAAGAGACAAAAAGAAAACTGGTCTATTTCTCGATAAGCTCCCCGGTTTACCTTTAAGGTGGAAGGAAGGGTTTTGAACAAAAAAAAAGAGAGGGACCTTTTGAACCAGTACAGTGCATTACAGTAACAGCAACGCAAACATGCCTGAGATCTTTACGGCTCCCATTAAGCGTACCAGCCATTATGATGCTCTTGGTGTCTCTGCCGACGCTTCGGAGTCCGAGATCAAGAGGGCGTATCGAAAGCTTGCCTTTGCACATCACCCTGACAAGAACCCGGGAAATGTGCAGAGCGCTACCAAGAAGTTCACCGAGGTACGTTCCAGAGTTCATATCTGTTCCCACGGAATTGTCTGGTGGAAATGGGGGGGATGGTCCCATTTGTCCTCATTGAAAGCATGTTTGGAAGAAATTGGCAGAGCGACTAATAGTGTGTGCGGCGATATTAAGGTCAAGGAGGCATACGAAGTACTGAGCGACCCGGAGCAACGGAGAAAATATGACAAGGAGATCGGAAGATACGGCCTCAAGAGCTCGAGTTCGTTCCCGAGTGAGCGATGCAAAAACCCCAACATCCGTATCCAAGACTAGACTAACAAAAACCAGCATATGAAACTCCCGCGCCGAAAAGGCATCAGTACTCGTACACTTTTGACGGAGCCCCAAATCGTTCCGCCTCGAAATCCCGTGAATCGTACCCACCCTCTTCCCGTCGCTCATCTTCAAACCCCCGCGACCCCTTTGATACGGTGCCCACCGCACATGTTAGGCGCTCGTCGTCGAGATCCCGCCGCGATCCACCCGACGCTCCCCCACTAACCCCACCCTCGCCGCGTACTCGCCGTTCTTCATCGAAACCCCGTGGCGACGCCTCACCAACGACCCCGCCACCCTATATTGGCCGCTCTCCGTCAAGATCCCGCGGTGATAGCCCCTTCGATACCTCGCCAAGGACCCCACCCCCGCATATTCGCTGCTCTCCATCGAAACCCCGTGGCGACGCCGCTTTCGACGCCTCGCCCACGACCCCACCGGCTTACATTCGCCGCTCTTCATCAAAACCCCGATCCGACCCCTTCGATACTCCGCGTGGCTCATCCAGGCCGCGCGCGGACACGTACGATGGCACACCGCTGCGCTCGTCGTCGTCAAAGTCCCGCGATCATTTTGGCGTATTGAACGCACACGCATCATCCAAGCGACGGGATTCCATTGACACCACTCCCGCTCGTCGCTCGCGGCGTCAGGACACGGAGCAAATCCTACTCGACCCGGAGTTTGACCGCTCGAGGTACGCCGCTGCAGAGCGGGCCAAGGTTCTCTGGGAGCGCAGGCAGAAGGAGATGGAAGAGATGGTGCAAGCCGAGAGAAGGAGGACCGAGGCCCACCTGGCGGAGTTGAGAGAGAATATGGAGAGGAGGGAAAATCTACGACTGGAGGTGGAGAAGCGGGAGGCTCAATGGCGGGAAGAAGAGGCCAGGAGACATAGTCTCAAACCCGGGCTGGAGAAGCGGCAGACGAAGCGGGAGGCGAGACAGAGGGAGCTGGAGCGAAAAGACGCTGAGCAACGACAAGAGGAATGGAGAGAATCTGTGCGAAAGGCTGCCGAGCGAAAGGAGGCAGAAAAGATTGATCTTGAGAAGGGAGAGAATGATAGAAGACAGCAGATCATTCAATCCATCATGAAAGTCCAGGACATGATCTCGGAGTACGGAATGGGAAACCCTGCCAAGAGCAAGAGTTGGGCAAGATATCGAACAGAGGACGAACTGAAATCATACCTCAAGCTTCAGTGCGCAATTCTAGTAGAGATTCTACAGGAGCGGAGCTAGATTATTTCCTCCACTCTTTCCCCCCCTTGTATTCATCATCAAAAATGGCTTCCTTGGAAGGGCCATTTTTCATTTCCCATTATTTTTCATGACAAGGAAAAATTCTCTGTAAATTATTTTTTTTAAAAAACCGCTTTCCTTTCCCCTCCCTTCAATCTCATTTGTACGAACATTCCTCCCACCTACCACCCCTCAGGTTGCCATCTATTACCTTTTTTTCTTTTCTTTTCTTATTTAATTCCCGTTCTGGAAGATTTTTTTTTTTTAATCGACTGTATATATATACGACCCTCGCCATCTGGCAGCTGGTTCTTCAACCCAAAACAATTTCTTATGTTTACTTACCCACCCGACTCGTTTACCCCCCTCCCCTACCTTACCACGATACCACCAACTCATCCTCCCTTGCACAAAAAAGAACACCATTTCCTTTCTTCCTTAGGGCTGGTCTCACGAAGGCTCACTCGCTTGTACGGATTAATTAAAAAAGCATGATATTTACACTCCGCGCGAAGCATGGAATTGTACAGTATGATATTGCGAATGTCGCCTCTACAATGACAAACATTGAAAGAAAAGAGAAAGAAAAACCCCCCCAATACAACCAGCCCCCCCTCTCTTTCCTCCCCCCTGGCGAGATGAACAAGTAAACAAATAATTAAGTAACCAAGTAAATACATGGGTGAGTAAATCCAATAAGGGTAAAGTTTGAGAGGAGGGGTGAGGGCAAGCACCGGTTGGAGGACGAAGGAGAGCCTTTGGAAATGCTTGTGCCCCGCACGCGGGGGGGGTGGCCGGGATGGCGAAGGCGGGAGGAGGTCGTTACTGCTGGTGGGGTAACCCGTTCGCGGTATGATACTGCACAGTACCGTAAGCTATGGCATGAATGATAGGGGTGCGGTCCGGTTCGCACGCGTGCTTCTGTTGGTTCATGAAAGGTCACTCGGCAGGTTCTACCGTTCGTCTTTGGGTATGATACCGTATTTACTGTTAGCGAGGACCGGAGAGTTTTTTTTAGTTTTTTTTTTTTTCCCTTTAACAAAGTGCAGGAAGTTAATATTGGCGAACTAGGCTGCGAGCTGCTGGTGTGCGCGAGTGTGTGTGTGTGTGCTTGTGGAACGGGACCGTTTATTGGCTGGTTCGTGTTTTTCTGTGCACCATGCTGTGCTGTGTTCAGGATTTGTCTGTCTCGGGATCGGCCCGGGGAGATCCTGACTTTGGTGTTATATCATACCGAAACCGGGAAACCCTGGAAACCGGTGTGTGTGTGTCGCTCGGTGGTGAGTTGGAAAAGGGACGACTATGTTTTTCTACAAATTTCCGTTCAGCACTTGGTACGTGCTAGGCACAGTACAGTTGCTATGCTAGCTGAGACTGACGTGGTACGGTATTTTGCTCAGGACTGTCTACAGTGGTGGGAGACTTCTGCACTCTTGCGGGGGTGGGCGCATGATACAGTAGTCCAAACACACCGTTCACAAGGCATTTGCATCGGTAGGAGATGAGCTATGGTACAACAACAGCGCTGTAAATGACAACAATTCAGGTGGCGCGGAATTAACTTACATCTTAAACGGCTCGGGATCCACTAACTCCGTTTCGCAGTGATGGAAGAAGGCTGTGCGGTAAATCTAACCCGACCCTCTTGGGAAGCAAGCAATCCCTTATTGTGGCATGTGTTGGACGGGATGCGGACACAACACCATAAACAAGGAAATTCAATGACAGGCCCGCTACGAGTACACAGCAGATGATACCGCACTGCGGAAAACTACCTTGCAGGCGTTCGTCCTGATGATAAAACACGTGCGCTTCCAAAGCACTCATAGGCTGTAAGTTGATTTGTCTTCATATACCGGTATCCCGTAATATATCAGCAGCGGCAATGGCAAGAGTGTTGTGCAACATGCAATGCCCCACAACGACAACAACAACAACAACCCAACTTCATCGAATCTCAGATCCCATTGGAATATCTTCCCTCGCCTGCAGATAATATAATTCGGGGATATAGGACGAGGCAGAACCCATCCCTACGATAACCAAAAGCTCTCAAAGAACGCAAGTGAAGACTTGTATCTCGCTATTCCTATTTTTTTTTTTCCTTTTCCCCTTGTGTGAAGCATGCGCAATTTCCGCAGATAATTCTCCACGAGGACAGCAGGATCGAGGGTCAAGAGTTCATTGGCATCATATACACTCGCGGCGCACTTGTCATGCACGCTTCCGTACAGCAGAAAGGGAGAGAGGGAGAAAGAAGAAAAAATGCAACAGATACCAGCCTACGTCAGTGCGCGCTCGGCGTACTCTCACTGGATATCACTTTTTGATTGCTGCTTGATGATTTGCTACTTTAAGGCCTCATCCCCCTCTCCTCCCGTTCGAGGGTTCGACTCATTGGGCTGGATTTCCGGATGGTAACCACTTATCGGTGAGGTATTCCGGTGGAGGTTGCTGTGGTTATCACATATCTCATTAACTCTGGGGAACAAAACATGCTCCTTCCGAACGGGAGTTTTTCTGGTCCATGGAGAAGTCACCGGACCTCGATTGATGAAGGGCTGCGCGCAAGTATCTCTGCCATCTTCCCTAAATAACTGGATATCGCAAACGAGAAGGGAAAAAAAAAAGTTGGCTTTTCTTCTCCACCCCCCGGGGCACTTGTACACTTTCTTAATTGCGCAGTTTATTATGAGCACTACCGATGTTTCCTACATCTCATTACTCACTATCCTACTCCGCATCCCGCAGACCACGCTCTCCACCGTCCGGTGAGAGGTGATTGGCAGCCCTAAAGTTCTTTTTATCACATCACACTTCCGTGGATCAGCATCGGTGTCAACAATCTCCTACAGAGCAAGCGCCAGTACCGGTATCATATGCTAAGGTACTTCTTAATCCTACTGCCGGGGTACTATGCCTTCAATACCGGTACCCTCACATCCGTGAGCAGAAATAACTACCCCGCTTTGAGAGTCAATGCTATCTCTCGAGTTTCATAGCACCGGTAAGGTAGTCACCACCCACAGGACGTTAATATTTCTGGCGCTCGGGGGTGCTTTTCCATCTCGAGACAAAAAAAAGGGCGGGATGAACCACTAAGCCCCTCTGAACGAACCAAACGTGGATTTTCGAATCACGCGCGGTAGTCGGCAAGCTTTTTTAGTGAATCGATTATTTAAAATTGATCCCCTAGCCTTTCTGGAAGAAAGCAATATTCTACCATACAAGGCCCAACCAAGCCAGCCAGCAGCTGTGGTGTGTGTGTGGGAAATGTGGGGTCGAGGCAAGTGTGGTCCGTTGGACGCCGATACGGCAGATACCGCGCCGTCCGTGAATACGAGTTACCGGCACTCGCTGTGCGGTGTTGTGGTGCCAGTGGTTTGTGGAACCCTCCGCCCGACCCATGCCGGAGGATAAGCTATCTGCCTGATATTTGGATTTGAGCTATGCGGAAAAAATGCGTGTATGTCTCAGCCATATCTATTGCTTATCTAGTGTGAAGCGGAACCCCATGTCAGCCTTCAGCTGGTAGAAAAGAAAAGCTGGGTTTCCACGAGATTGGGAGCTGCAACAAAAACATTTCCATTCCCTCTGGTTTTGCAAAAATAGTTCTTGTTATGCTGTCGAGTAGACGCTTGATCCCCCATTCGAGACTATTATTGAACACGGCATTTCTGACGTGCTGGGGTGGTGATAGGTAGCTCTATTAGAAACCTTAGTTAGGCGTGGACAGTACTGCGCTTCACAGTAATACCATTACTGTGCTGTACTCGTACAGGTGGAACACCATGGGTCTATGAGAGCTCCACTGGATCTGGCACTACCGTAGCCTACAATCAGCACAGCTACAGGTTGTTTTCTTCCCAAAAGCAAATTGCCTTCCCGTCTATGTTCCCCCTTTCAACTTCGGTGACTGAACCATGAGTAATTCACTATATACGTATTTTGCAGATCGTTTTAACCCACCTCCCGGATCTCTAACAACACCCCAGTTTAAAAGACTACAGTACCCCCCCCCCCGAAAAAGAAAAGAAAAGGAAGAAGTCACGGGCCGGTGCCTCTATCCGCTGCACAATTCATTCCGGGGACTGAAGTTGCCGCCGTGTCTTTGGTCGGGAACTCTCATACCGAGACCCATAGAATCCTACGAGTGTTCCGTGATGTTCTGACGGCGCTCCATTTCGGAAGCTTGTCTCATTGAAAAGCTTTGTGACACAAGGTTTACATAGTCCACAGACGAGGTCGGTCATCCGGCTCGGCGCGACTGAGCAAGGCTGAAGTCACCGATTGAATGGGCAGCGGAAGGTACGTCGGCCCGTGGTCAACATTCTTTGGCCTTGGATCGGTAGCTTAAATTTCCAGCGCTATTATATCAGGGCATCAGCCACTCTGGGCTTCGCATGCAATTAAGGGAATATCCGGTTCCGTGAAGGGTCCGAATATGGTGACCTAGAGCCGAAAACCCTAGCGCGCGTAGCCAAGTTAGTTATCTAATGACTAATGGTTAGTATCTACAGGCTTTCTGGCACGCTCTTGTATACATAGAACTAGACTAACGGTAGAGGACGAAAGCAAAACGAACTGCTTCAACAGGGACACACAGCCTGGGTCCCAATAAACGTTGGTTTCCTCGTAATTCAGCCCGTATTAAGTTATCCCAAGTGCGCCTAACGTCCTAGACATGATATCCTAAGTATCACGACGGGCGGAACGCCCATTATAAAGACTTCCGCCAAAAAGGTCAACGAAAAACCGACATAATCCTTCAGCTATCAGTAAACCCCCTCCCATCACTTGTGTGGAACACGCAAGATTTAAAAAACTCGAGAGGCCTACAAGGCACGCCTGTCCACCGCAGGCACCCAAGGCAGCCCCGTCCGTCCGCCCCATCTGGACCCTAGGGGGGACGAACCGAACTGGGGAATTTAGGTTCATCACTGTGTATCACGACATGAAGTGCCTGCGAGTGACCAGGCGAGGCCAAAGTGAGGTTGACCCAGGCATTGCAGGGCCCTGCAGGTGCGCGATGGTGCCGGCAGCCTTTCGACATCGTACCGGCAATAATAAATGTTCGTCGGTGGGGAGTAACTCAGATATCCGAAGATTTTTTTGCCAATATATGCCTGTTGCCTGTTGCTAGCAAGGCGCGAGATGTCTCAAGGCACCCACCGCTGGCTCATGATCCCAGGCGTGATGGATAGCAATATGAAGGCATCTCCGATAAGCTCGAAGGGCCGAGGGTGGTAATCCGCCGGGTGATCTGTATCACTCGATATATTAAAAAATGTGTACGAATCACTCGCACATTCGCAATCACTGTTTGGTCGTCAAGTCATCAGACTATTTTCCTTCCTTCCCGGCGCTCGAGTGAGAATGCTATGCTTTCTCCGGTGTTATACATTGTTCCCTGGGCACTTTTCATGCTGGGGATTGATGACGATGATGGCGATGAGGGATTTTGGTCCAACTGATCGTTCGCCAGTCGGCTCCCAGTGGACTTGAGAAACAGTTACAAAATTCGAAGCACAGCGCCATACTTGCCAACCCTATGGAAACAAACTAGTGCGCAGAAAGAGCTTGAGTTACGCATTTGCATGCGCTGGGGGTTATTGACTACTGGTGTCGAACAGGGAATCGGTATAATAGTTTGTGTTCTAGAATGACAGTACACTAACTTTATGCTTTTGCGGAGGGTTTTTATTATTATTATTTCAGGTCGTTACTCGGGATTTCTGAACTGCCGTCACTCCTCTTTTCAAGGTCAATTAGAATACCTAGGGATGAGATCTTTTACTCCTGTACTACTTGAAGGGGGGGGGACGTTTTTATAAGAGGGTTAAGATACATTTTTGATAATGTGTATACAGGATGGTTCATGATCGGTCACTTGTGTGTGTACTGGTACGATATCTGCGGTCCGGCCGCTTGCGAGTGCCCTAACCGGAGTAATCCTTCCTTCGGAGAGCAAGAAGGACAAACTACATGGAATACACATCATACATCCGTGATCTTTATGATAACCATTCTCATGTTGTAATGGAGGCTGCTATCAGAATACGCAGTGGTAAAGGAACGGAATAGGATAGAGACTCGCTGTGGCGGGATATCTGGGAAAGGTGCGTGCTTCGTCCTGCGTTCACTCTCTAACTAATCGGTAATGATGGGAGTATAAGCAAAACACCATCAAAGCAACCCGACCCCTCCACGGATCACTACAACCCATCTCCGTAATTCCACACATGCCCAAGTTCCTCTACCCACTTCCGTGATAACAAAGGAAAGACATATCTCTAGAATCCTCTTCCAACCTTCAGACAAATCTACGGTACGATAGTTCCAAACACTGAAACGTACTCCCATGACCAACCACAGCACACTTTCTCTATCGATTCCAACATCTCACGGAATAATAATTCCACCCAGAGCCCCCTCTTTTGTAATCCGGTGGAGCCATGCCAACACAAACGTCAGCGCACGGAAAAGAAAAAAAAACATGAAAGTATCATACCAACACGCGCGGAAGCGAAATTTACCGGACTATAATACTCACATCTCGATATCCAGGAAACACTGTATCAAACAATTCACTTTCACAAAACTCCACTGCCCGTACCACTGTCACAGTTACAGTTACAGCGCAACGAAAACCCACCGCCAAAACCGTAAATCCCCCTTTACGATACTTCCAAAATTGCAGAGAGGGAATCTTTTCAAGTATGATACCAGTGGAGGCACCCCTGCCAGGGGCCCGGAAAGAAAATAACCACCGGTTTTGGATAGTTAAAAAGCTGAAAAGTTCAAGATCACACAAGTTATCGAGTAACTTACAGCAACAAACTCAAGTCCCGATACAAAAGAGAGAGAGAGAGATGCACAAACAAAGCTTATAACATTAACCAGTCGAGGTATCATATACCCCGAGTGTGAGAGGACTCTCCTTCTCCCTCCTCTTCCTGCGCAGCGGTATCATACGCGTACACGTACATGTGCACGCAAACAGGAGTATACAAACCCCCAAAATCACATAAATCCATGGGTGCACACACAGTCCCTCTTAAAGAACGGGCCCCGGGCGCACGTATAGATGGATGGATGGACAGCCAGTCACAGGTCATCACTCAATCCCGACGAGCAGCAATTGTTGGAAATAGCAGTTGATGGCCGCACTTGGCGCGGGATGCGCCCACACACGGAAGCTTCAGTACCGGTAGTCTATGTCTGCACCGCTGAAGGACGCGTAAGCTATGAAAACTTTTCTCATCTGTCTTTTCCTCCCTTTTGTTCTCTCTCACGAGACAACCACTTCCTGTCCTGTACTTTACCTTCCGCTCTGTCATTCCAGAACAATCAATCATGGTTCATGGTCTTCATCTTCACCTGAGTGGAACCTCATATCTCCACTCGAGCCATTCTGCTCCACTGCATAAACCCCCACCATCGATCGTTACCTCCGTAACAACCATCTTTCGACAGCAATCGACCCTCCCTAAGTTCACGACACTATACTCGTACACACTAAACGGCAAAAACCGGTCAATCAATCAATCAATCAACGGAAGGGGTGAAATAAAAGGATCATCATGGCTAATATCACAACGATTTAGAAACCGGAGATTGGGGGGAGGAAAACAAAAGAACACGAACGCTAGGTAGCGTTATCAAATTAGCAAATGCCCACAATTTACCCATGATTGTGATATTACAGCATACCAGTTCAATCAATGAGGAGTCTCCCCCTTGTGTGCACTTGCCATGTTTCATAATTTTCTGATGCGCTCTCAGCTATTATATAGAGGTAGGTTAGCACAGCGCTCATAGAGCGCAGGGTCGATGCGGAGGACGGTGGATACCGTAAGAACAGGCAGTGGTGATATCGCACATGGTTGAAGCTATGATAGGAGTGCGGAATCGGTGAGACACTCCCTTACCCCATTCATTCATCCATCGGATCCCTTTTCGGTGCTTCAAGATTTCCGGTGGATATCACAAAGAATCACTCGTCTATAGAATTGGGTGTGGACTGTAAAGCGCGCCCGGGTTCGTTGCATTGAGTTTTTGCATCAGGGGAGACTACAAGATAGTGTTAGCTCTACAAGATGCCAAAGCACCGCTTAGTAAACCATTCTGCCCCTGCGATCCTCATATTCTATCACTCGAAAACCCAAGTTTAACAAAGGTTGAATGGGTACTGTACAAGTACAGTACATGCCACAGCAATATCATGTCATGTCACAAGCTGCCATTACACCCTACTTGAACCAAACCCAGCATAACAACATCTCATTATCTCACAAAGCTATTACCCACACGCGCTTCCTTCTCACCCATCACCATTCATTTCGAGCAATGTACACCCCAAACAACGAGAAGGAAAATAAAATAAAGGATCCCCCTGATGCTCTCCAAGGGGCCAAAATCCTACAAATTGTAAAAAAAAAAAAAGTAAAGGGCGCAGACCCAATTAAGAACAATTACGGAAGGAGGTGGCAAAGAGGGGGGGGGGGAGAAAGGGAGAATTGAGGGTAAGCATTTCCATAGCGCATGTTTGTAGAAGCATGGATTTCAAGGAAGAGCGCAAAACAAAAAAGGTGTTGATATAAGAGTTGGGCAGAGATGGCGCAGAGTATAGCGAGACTAGGCAGAGCGAGGCAGAGCAGAAATAATGGAACAGGAAAGGGTATGACAGTGATGAGAAAAAATAATAAAAATGAAAAAGATTGTTCGCGGAGCAAAATAAATGTACTAAGTCTCCCCTCTGCTCTCGATCCGGCATTTTCCCAATCCGTCTTTTCAAAGATTTTTTTGAATCTCTAAAATTCACAAGTAGAAAGGAATAGAATAAAAGAAGGGTAAAATAGAGTAAACACCAAGCTTTGCTTTAACGAAATAAATCCCCATTGGTAACTTCTCTGAGCAGCCTACTGGCTCGCTTGCGTCCGCGAACCGAAAAATGGAAAATGGAAAACCCCACAACAGTAACTCTACCTGAACTTTGCTACACAACGACCCATAACCTCGCCCTGGCAGACCAACTCCGCATTAAATTCCGATCCGTCAAGGGTGAGGAAAATATCGAAATAGACCCTGTAGAAGGTTCCCTGAGGAGTGTCCATCCTCTCAAAGTCCTTCTCCAAATTCTTCCGAGACAAGTCGGAGGTGAGCGTTACAACTTCCTTGATGCCTGTATCATAGCTTATATATAAGTATCTCATACCGAGTTGGATGAATGATGGGGATACTAACGAGGGTCTTTGGTATACTCCGGACAAACATCGTCATCGCAGGCATATAGGATATCCTCATACATTAGAGTAGCACCGGGAGCAACCTGTCTGAAGAAAGAAACCTTGACAGGTTCTCCAATCTTGACTCTCTGTCCCTTGGTGACGAAAATCTGGCGAGTATACTTGCACCTGTCCTTCCCATCCAAGCTGGGCACACGGTATTGCTCGGGGTGATGCCCCTCCTTGAACGGTTGTAGAGTCGCCATGAGATAATGTCTGCGGGCGACGCGCGATGTAACAACCTTTTCAGTGATTCCGGCAGTGACAGCCCCCTTCACAATAGCGGCTACAGAGTCCATAGGGCGCACAACCTTCGACTGGAACTGAGGAGGCACGTGTAGTTTGATTTGCTGGAACAAGTACTCGGAAGCACCAAATCCACCCACAACCAACACATTCTATCGAAATAATCTCAGTTACGACCGCAACCCCTCGGTAGCATCCATTTCGAAAACATACCTGAAGCTGTCTATTCTGCGCCTGGATAGCAATAATCTGATTCCTCACCAACTCCAGGATCCTATTGACCACAGGTTCGAAGCATTGGAGAATCTCCTCATTGGTGAAAGTCATGTAACCTTCCTCGATACCAGCGTCAGGGAACTCAGCCTCGATACCGACATCAACGGCCCACTTCTGTCCATTATTTCTAAAGTCCGCCTTGATACGGTTCTCAAAATCCATAATACATTTGGCGTACACCTTCCCAGCAGTTCTCGATCCATCCGGCAACTTCATCTTTCTGATCTTGGCGCGCAGGATGTTTGAAAAGTTCCTATTAAGAGCTGTAGAACCGCAAGAGTCGCCGGAACCTGCTGTACACTCTGCTACAGAGAAAGGAACCTCTTCTTCGACTTCGTACGCGATCAAATCAACAGTCCCGCCACCACAATCGACAATGAGAACGGCATCATGAATCTTAAGGTTAAGAAGTCCAGTCTTGGAACAGAACATTGCCGCGGCCTCGGGCTCGGTAATCAATGTCAACCTATTGTCATTTTCGTCTCTCAAGAAACCCGCCTGAATAGCCGCAGCTCTGGTTGCAGCCTTTCCCGCGTCATTCCAAATGGCCGGTACGGTCAGGAAATAGCGGATGTTACGCTCCTCACGGTTGAAGACTTCTCCCAAGGTCTTCTGAAGCTGAGCCCTCATGGCTTGGCGCAGCTTGAAGAGATAGTCCGCAGCGACATCAACTTCCGATTTTCCGGGAGGAAGAGGGGGAAGATTGATAGGATCAATGTAGGTATTTCCGGAAAGCATGAGCTGCAGTTTGAACCATTCGACCTGCCCAAATTTAGTATATAATATAATCATTTTCCCAAAAGAGGTCAATATATAATACCTTTTGTACGCCAGGCTTAGGGTAACCAGTAGGAGCCAAAGCATCCGCAATATCGGGACCCCAGCCGACAACCTTCTGGTACTGGTCATAATACAAAACAGTGGGGATCTGCGTGCAGGTTAGACATGATCGGTTTGATTGCAGATTAAGGTTGTAAGCCAGGTCGGGGAAATAAAGAATGCGGGTTCACCTTATTCTTAGTCTGGTTACCCGCACCGGGCCACTCGGTGATAATATCCTCTTTCGCTTCCTGGTCCGTAGCAAACGCGAATGCGACACCGCTGAAGGTGGTACCCTACACAAACCTATCAGCAAATATCCCCCCCACCGCCTAAACAAAACAATCACGCCTTGGCGTACTCACAAAATCGATTCCAACGATCAACTGTGCCTTGCTCTTGTTGGTACCTTCAACTTCCGCCGCCTGAGGCCTATTCTGCATCTGGTGCATCCCAGGATGATTGTCCCGGTGAGGCATCGGGGGAGCTCCAGCAGGGTAAACTGGTGGATGTCCACCGTAGGGGACGGGAGGAGGACCTTGCATGCCCATGGGCATCTGTCCCTGTGGGGGAATAGGACCGAGCTGACCCGGGCCGTAGGGTCCTGGCGGAGGCATTGGGCTAGCCGATCTACCCGCTGGGTGGGGGGGAGGAGCGTATGGTGGGGGATACGACGAAGGTCTCGTAATTCCGGCTTGGTTCGGAGGGGGACCAGATGGCTGGCCAGTATTCGGAGGAGGGGAGGGATTATTGTTGTTCTTTTTAACACCACTGAAGCCGAACCGCCCTAGACGGCTGCTGAGTTGATTGCTCATCCTTCAAAAAGTGAATGTAATGCGGGGAGAATTGTGAGCTTATAGAATGCGAGACAAAGGGATTGGGGGGGGGGGGGAAGGGGTGGGGAGTTTTCGTGAGGCTGAAAGGCTCAGGTTTTGCCTTGCGATAACGCAGCGAGGGAGCGAGAAACAGCAGGCGGCAAGAATCAACGGAAGAGCGAATGTGTGTATGCGTGTGCGTGTGTGATGCGGGAGGAGAGACAGAGCGGGAAAGAGGAAAAAACAAAAAGTCGAAAAAAAAAAAAAGAGCTGCGAGAAGGGAAGGGAAAAAGAACCCGAGGAATTGAAGGCTCGATTCCCAGAGGTATGCAGGAGTTGGCAGCCGAAGAATCTCGAAGTCGCTAATTCCGGCCTGCAACGGGGTCCGTTGAACAGCTGGAGAATAAGGGGTCGTCAATGAGAGGATGGGGGAGAAGGAAGGAGTTGGATCGAGCGAGGAGATGTCGTCGACTATAGGAGACTGGGGCCTTTCAGCCGTGGTGCGGCTGGGCTGGGCAAAAAGAGGGGGTGGAGGTGGTGGTGATTGTGGAGGTGGAGGAAGTGGATGGATGTGGAGATGGCGGAGGGTGTTGGTTACAAAAGGTGTGAGGGACACGCACAAAGGGAGTAAGAAGAGTAAGAGACGAGTGGAGGAGGACCTTGTTGCTGAGTAGGAGTTTCAAGCCTCCACTACCGGTACACCTTTTGACGATATTTTTAAACTATAAAGGGGCTGTAAGAGGATGAAGGATGAAAAACGGGAGTGAGAGTCCCGTACAGTACTGTACTCGAGTACCGTACCGACTGGACCCATTCATCCGCTCACAGCTGTTCACTTACTCACCTGCTAGTCCCCACTTTATTTTTGTTACCGTATTTCTCAATCCAAAGACACGGAAATCTCGATTTACCGGCGGGCGGTGGCAGCCAAAGAGGCAGTCAGTCAGCCTCCGCCAACAGCGACCAGGGGGGCCATTCAGGTTTCCTCCTTTCTTGTGTAGCCGTGCTCCATCCCGAGTACGACAGAGACTTCCTTGGCCACCGGTACTGTGTGATGATGGTGGAACTCAAAAGAGTAGGGACGAGCAACGGGCGCGAAGCGATTAGACAGATACAAGTTGAGATTGATCACAATGGAATCCACACCTTCTCAATGATACCGCCTCCCAACGAGTGGCAGAGAGGAGGAGAGGGATGAAATGAGCTCTCTTGTGTTTCTTTAAGGCTATACGAGCATGTCGCTTGATCATTGGTTGTTCCACGCCGTGCAGACTCTTTTGTGCTTCTAGAGGTCAAAGTTTCTCTCGCCGAGCCAAACGGGAATCTCAACGGACACCCGTGGGCTTTTTGAACCGCCTTCAACAGTTTGAATGCTTCGTTCGATACGGTATCATCTAGACCATCATCAGTACGCAAGAACAGTTCCTGCCCTTCCTGCCCTTCCGGCCCCTCCTCCCATGCGCTCCCCCATCGACCGGGCCGGTCAGCAAGCGGTGCATTCTGGGTCGGTATGCCACCACAAAAAAAGCCATCCTCCTCTCCCCGCCCAACTAAACCACGATAAGCAATGCCAAGACTCAGCCGCAACGACCATTTCGATAAAGTTCTATGTGCGAGTGCGGTAACCCCGAGACATAGGGCTAAAAAAAAAACCCTGGCCATCCGGCTCTGAATAAGAAGGGAAAATAAAACGTCCACCTTCCTTTCCTCCACACGGTAAACGGGGAATTGGGGAAAGTGGCTTCGATTCACCCGTAGAATTCCTCTCAAACCGATCAGTTGGTTTTTGGATGGCTTACCGGTACGATACCGGTATTGTTGGGAGCGGTGGTTGCTGAAAGAAAAAAAGAAAAGAGAAAAAAAAGGGTGAAGGTTGTGATTACTCGAGTACCGAACCCGGCGCCTGTACGAGTACCAATATTGAGCGTGGGAGGGTCTGTGCTTAGATGGGCTGCTACGGTACGAGTAAGACCTGGGCAGATGCGATCCAACCTCTGCCTGCAACCCGAAACCTCCACTATCGAGATCATTGGTATCGAGGTTTACGTGGGCTGCCCTATCGTGGCCCGTAATGCGGAGACTTCTTGAAGATTGCTATTGCGCCGCATCGCCGTGTTATCGAAGGGATCACAATAAAATCACATGGACGCGGCTTCCCCATAGCGGTATCGTACCCTCTTCACTTCATATGTTGTGACCACTCCAGGCAGCTACCGTATCACCCTGCGCTCTGCCCCAAGCAGAGTGAGGAATACAGTGAAAATGCTCGGCAGAAGCTTAAGTTAGCTACGAAACATTGGGCTGTGTAGGGATCGCGAGGCGACTCAGCTGGCAATCTTCACTCTCTCGGGAACGGGCCTGCCATGATATCTGACATGTGCGCCATCATCACCCCGAAGATCAGTCGTCAACGGAGGTTATCATATTACGGTACTCGTATTATACGAGTACCGCACCGTACGCTCGTTAGTGGGTCCAGACGCAACCCTAACCCCGAACCGGCATGGGAAACGATGACAGGATCTTCCTTCCAATTTCCTTTGTTCGGGTGAGCGACATAGACTATCATACAAGGCGAGTTGTCTAAGCTCCTTCCTTCCTTCCTTCCTTCCTGCGCTAGGGAAGCTTCCCTAGGCTTCCCACGCTAAATTTACAGTGCTCAAAACCCTGAGTGCCATGGCCCCGGCAGCCGGTACGGTAACTTCCCGTTGCGGACGAAATCCAGCAGTGATTTAAGTTATGGTGGAGAAGAAGCCTTGCAAAGTCCGTTGAGTGGGTGAACGCTTCGTTAAGCATGAAGCATTATGCCTACCCGCATAATTTAAACCGAAAGCTAAAAGGGAGGTACCGGCATCATACGAAATTATGGGAATCTCTCAACAGCATTACCGTAGACTAGAGCCCACCCCATCTTCGTTTCCGACTTGGTTTCGGATGTCCACCGCTAAAATCTCAAACCCCCACAGGTTTTTTTTTTTCCCCCGGTAGCCCCAGACTCTCTCGGCCTTTGTCAGCTACTGTACTAGACCAGTGCCGTGCTCACCTGAATAAAGTGCTCTGCTGGTATTGATATCGTACATGCTTGCTTGCTTGCTTGCCCGGAAAGGTCCCAGGAACCCGGGTCATCGGGTCCGGGGACCGCAGAAGGGGCCGAAGTGCATGACGACATCAAGCCGGGGCGGATGAACTTCAAATACCGTTACCGCTCAACTACGGTATGAGTACGGCGTCCAGGTATGTATACACGTCACCCCCCGTGGTCACATGAAAAAGTCTTGAATACCTGAACGCATTGAGCAATTTCTATTGATTAGGATTATTCTATTCTGTGGGTTGGGTTATATCGAGGTGGTGCAGTGAAAAATATAGTCTACTGTAGTTCTTCTGGAGGAGAGATGCCTTGTGGGGAGCTGTTGAAGGCATGGTGCTAGGCAACGCGCTGTGGCCGCCGTGTTGTGTGGAGAGTGACAGAATGTGATTGGTTCTGGGGCGACGGGTTAGGTTAGTCACGGAGAGTTTGTAAGCGTCCTGCCTTTGTAATTTAATCTAGTCTAAATGTTTTATTACTCCCTCAGGATTAATCTACTACTTGCACAGGGGATATTTTGTGGAGGAAAGGTAAAAATGAGAAGGAATCGCTAATATGCAGTGTACAGGATGCCGTTTAATGAGATATTTATAAGGGGAAAAAGGAAGAAAAAGTCGTAGCCGGCCGTATGTCACATTATTCCTGCCAGCAGATATGGTGTGGGGAGTAGGAGGAGGAGGAGGAGGAGGAGGAGGAGGAGGAATGCCCCACTACTTGAACAGCGACCAAACACTGTTATGAAACTAAAGCACCCCAATCAGTATCAAAACCCCTCAGGAACCGGCGGTAGGGGAAGCGCATACCCTCCCACCTAGCATCACAATATTGTCCACGCAATCCAGTACCCGATACCTCTGCTCCGCCAGCTTCCTGAGCGGGTACGTGTTCGGCTCGCTCCCCCCCAAGCTCGGCATGGTGAGCAGGTAAACGGCGAAGCTGTTCCCCTGGAGCTTCTCGAATCCGAACCTCCGCCTCTCGTACACCGCCTGTCTCTCCAACCACCTAATCAGCTCCTCGCCGCTGGTCGGCCGACCCCACTGCACGAACCTCAGCCCCTCCAGGAAAGCCCTGACGTCCTCCTTCCCCTCAACCCTCCGACCCTCGAACAGCAGCTCGACAAAGTAGACCCTGCACAGCGGGGCCGACAGTCCCAGCGTCAGGGAATTGAACAGTGTGCCCCAGGTGCTGTTGGAGGAGGTGAAGGTGAAGACGGTGTTCTCCCCGTCGCAGTGGGAATTGCTGAACCACAGTTTTGTCGAGAGGAAGCGTCGGGACTTGTCCGGCTTCGTGTCCTCCAACGCTGCGATGCTCTCCGCGGCTTTCTGCGCCGAGGCCGGGGCGGTTGTCTTCGGGGGCTCGTAGGCGGAGGGTATCATAGCGGTTGGGGCGTGGTAGGTGAAGGTGGTTGAGGCGCTCAAGCTCCCTCCACCACCGCTGCCGCCACTGCTGCTGCTGCCGGAGGAAGAATTGGACGTCGTGGAGCGCGTGGACAGACTGTATGTCGTCCCATTCCGGGAAATGCCTGGTGTTGGCGTGGACGTTGAGGAGTGTGGAGTGGACGGACGGGTCATTGTGGCTGCTCGAATTGCCATTTTGGGAAAGAAAAAAAAATTCGGGGGCGTCGGTGTACCAGCACAAGAGCTCTGTCACTCTCACTCTCTCTTCCCCGCTCTGTACGAATTTCTGTAGATTAGTATTGTATGTAAACGTCTGCAGCCGCGAGGATAGAGGTGGCTTTTACATGCACCCAGTACCGAAGTCGAGAACTTTTTTTTTCTTTTTTCTCTTTTCTCTTTTTTTCCCCTTTCGACTTTTGCGAGGGGAGCTCGATATATCATGAACTGACTGTGCTCACAGGAAGAGGGGTGGAAGGTAAGCTGGACACTTTATATTTACCGTATTATAGGTGAGATCCCTCCTTCCCTCCCTCCCTCCCTCCCTCTCTCTCCCACTCCCCTCACTCACACAAGTTGGGGTTATTATTGAAACCAGGAGCTCGCATATGCTCCTCGTTTCGCATGTTCGCTACGCGCTCTGTGCTACCCTACCCTACGGTGCTATTGTGTGTCACCATCGACGGATTCGGGTGAAATGAAATGGAATAAAAACAAAATGCGGAAATAAACAGACAAAGCAATAACCCCGGATAGGGATAACCGGCATAAAGTTGGTAAAATTTACAGTACCATAGCGACCATTTTTATTATAGATCTGGATACCGGCAACACTCTCTCCATGCTAACAGAAAACCCTCGTGGTTCTCACGCTTTTCAAGTTTTTTTGCCCTGCAGCTGTTAGTTTATGGAGGGAGGGAGGGGGGGGGGGGGTGGGATATTTTCGGTTATCGTAACCGCGCACGCCGCGTGTTGCTTGCTCTTCATGCTTTCGAGAGTGATGATTTGTGAATCACTTGACTTACGATACTGTACTTGTACTCGAGTATCTCCCCCCCCCCCCTCCCCCCTTTCCCACGAAACCTGATCGATTGATTTGGATAATGGACCGTGCTAGAGTTTGGCCATTGCGTCGGAGCGTTCGACAACTTTCATGCTACAAGTACTAGTACTCGTACACTACCGTATCTTACCGGTTAGTTCTGCTGAGAAGGGTGACCCTAAATTTCGTGAATCAACGCACGTGCGCAAGTCCATCCCCATTGATTTCTGCTGGATTATGCGGTTTGATCGGGGGAATGGACTGAGATGAAACGGTGGAGAAGCTTGTTCTACCGGGGTCAACAACTGGAATCACGAGTTTCACATTGGGGAGGGGAATTTTTTGGTGGTATCATACCCGTAGTCTATTGTAACTTGCGTTTTCCGCGATTCTACAATAGCTCGTTTTTAGTCAAGGCTACGGGTATTGATGATATGATGTGAATCGGATAGTATATTACAAATTTTGGTAAAGGAAAGGGGGCAAAAAAAAAAAAAAGGAAGAGAAACGTAGGAAATGTATTTACTGTACAGCAGAGCTGGCTATCTAGCGGAAGAAGACATGATGCTCGTGGTATGCAGTTGTAGTGTGATAGATAAAAGTGAGATGAAGAGACCTGAAAGACCGTAACGCCATGCCCATCCTTGTAAACAGTTAACCCCCAATGCAAAACAGGAGAAAAAAGAAAAAGAAAAAAGGAAATCGAGACCAGCTCTACTACGGTATGTGCCAATCCAATTGTTTAGCCTTTCCCGCTTTCCCTCCTCCCCTCTCTGGCCAAACTATTATGGTATGCTTTTTTTCCTCCCATAATATGCCAAACGAAGGGGAACATGTAAACGGAGGAGGGGTGTCCGGAAAGGGTATACATGCGGGGAACGGTATCTCCCTCTTTCCTTTGCTGTGAGTCCTCCACTCCAATCCCTCTCACAGTCCGGAAATAAGCAGGACCACCAAGACTCCTCCGAACATCTGCAATAGCTCCTTCCTCCCAAGCAAAGATTTGGAAGCCCCACTGCAAACATAACCCTGAGCCCTCCAATAAGCGCACCCTTGAGTATCCTGCACACTGCTAGGCCCTGAATCGCCCCCCGCTACGTTAGTTTCAACAACTCCATCTCCCGTCGGGGCCGCGGGGTTGACCGTGCTCACCACCACGTCCCCTCCAGCTCCACCCCCGCCAGTGCGGACGGGGGTATTGGGCGAAGTGTGGGACTGGGATTTTGCAACCGTTTTACTGGTCTTCTTTGCAGCACTCGATGAAGCACGGCGGGTGGCACTACCTGTCGCCGCTCCCCGGGAAGACGAAATGAAAGCTTCGGAAACCTCACCTGTATTTGCACCACCACCACCTCCTCCCCCCGTGGTGCCTGTTCCGGCGCCGCTGGTGTCGCTCCCGGTTGTGCCGGTGCCACCGGAACTACCACCTCCACCGCTACCACCTGTGCCTGTTCCACTTGTGCCAGCTCCAGTTCCACTCCCACTGCCACCCCCGCTACCCCCACCAGCTCCGGAATTTCCTCCACCTTGCCCTTGGCAGCTACCGCCCGGTGGGGCCCTGGCACCAGTATCGCCATCGTACTGAATGCTCGTCCCGGGATTGGGAAAAACTACATCCGTTCCCGCTGCGGTCGTGCATCCATTGCCGATATTCGCTTTGAATACCTCGGGACCGCTAGGAGCTCTCTTGGCCATCGCTCTGCTTCTTGCGCCACCGCCGATAGTGACCGATGCGCAGTTCATATACATCTCTCGGTTTCCGATTTTGTTGAACCAGGTCCTGACATATCTCATGAGCCTTTTGCACTTTCTCTTCTTCCGGTGACGCGCGTCATATAGTTACCAGGCGAAGACGGCATTGCCGGATGGCGCATCTTTGGGAATTGTGAATTTGAAGGTTTGATCGCCACCGGGGCTTGCGTGGGGACAATTTCCTACGAAGGATTTTATGACCGTAAAGGTCTTGCCCTTATCATAGGAGAGGGAGCATTGACATGATCCACCTATCGCAGGTGTAGTAATTAGTAAGTTTTACTCTGACTAGTTCTCTGGTTTTGGGTATTTTTTTTTAACTTTTTTTTTTTTTTGTTTACTTACCACCATGTACAGCTGAGCCAGATATACTGGAATTATGGAGCCATGTCAGTGCCCATTCGGGGAGATTGGGATATGTCAGGGTTTCGGCTGATACGTACACCATGTTATAGGTTCCGCCCTGTGCATAGGTTCTCACAGGTTTGCCCTCCGGCGCGTCCAAGTCTTTAAGATGCCCTTTGCATGGGTAGTTGGACCCGGAAGGGGATAGAGGAGCACTATAATCGAAGTCGCCCTTGGCGCTACTGTAATTTGGGTTGTCTTTATAATTGATCGGTGGGGGCTCCGACATCGTCATGTGCGCTGCCGAAGGGGCGACCCAAAGAAGGAGAAGGAAAAGCATTGGTATGGCCAGCCGGGAGTGCCGGATTGCCATTGTGATTGAGCTTGATGGGGTTGAAACAATAGATATGCTTTATGAAAGGAATGTGATGTGTTGATATGCCTTGTTAGGACTCTGGGAGTTTGTGCTCGGCCTATTATTAGTGCTCCTTGGCTGGTAAGGTAAGTTGATTGAACTACAGAATGATGAAATGGGGGTCGAGACGCAGTAACTTAAAGAGATGTTTGGGTATTAGGAAGGGGACTCTTTTGAACAGTTCTCGCAATGGGGAATTGTGTTGACGTGGAAGATATCTGAGGTGTCCAGTGCACGAAATCAATATCTGGTTTCAACCTTGGGGCAAAAGAATCTTGAAGCTGGGAGGAATACGTGGACTAAGCAAATAGGAGGCGGGATGACGAGGGGATAGGAGTGAATTCTTGGGTATAAACGGAATTGGATAGAGGCACGGGAGGTAGAAACGTAGTGATCACTCTGGATCCAAACGAAAGCAGATAGGCCGTCTGGGGCGAGCACGCGATAATTTTATAACAAATTTGCCCACTACTGGAGCCGAGTCACGTAGATACAGTCACACGTTCACCCCTCTTTGGTCAGGCCCCGTTTTTTTCCCGTCGCAGCCCCGACCATTCAGTCCCTCGAACGCCCCGACAAACAGAAACAGCCAATATGAAAACGGTGCGGCAGTCACAATGGAAGCGAAGGCCCTAAGCAATCGGAGAGGAACCTCATGGATGGGGAAGAACTAAGATGACGAATGAAACCCTGTGCTAACCTTACTGAGCTAGAAAGAAGTTGACAGCGGATCTAACTCTGCAGGACTTCTGAATGGGTACTAGAGCAACATAAACTCGGGGAATGGAGGGGGAATCAACTCACTTTGCACATTGAACATGATGCGCTGGTTCGGGCTTGCAGTGTTCGTATGTTCGGGCAGAGCCATCTGCACCTGGTTTTTGCCAACAATGCAGGGAAAACTTCTAATTCCATTGTGAGAGCGGGCACGAGGTAGTCCACGAGCGTCGAAGACGGGGGGAGGTCGCAGTCGTTGACAAGGAACGACGTGTTCGAGGTGGGGGACAATTGCATTCTTGCTGGGGCGGTCCCTGCATTGGCTTATCAAATCCAACCGCCCTCCCGCACCTGCGGAACGGAAATGCTTCGGGAAGTTCCTCGACACCAAAATAATAATAGGGATTGTCCGAGCAATGGTAGCATCGAACACAAGAGTTCCACAGAAGGGACGTTTTATTTCCGCCGTTAAGCAGCCTATGGCGTTTTCATAGTTGGAGCTGGGGAGACAGAATAGCCCTTCTGTTGGCTTTAAAAAAAGAAACACCTGAAAGACGTGGAGTCAAAAAGACCCCACACTTCCAATTGTCTCAGAATTGATTCCAGGGGAGCGTTACTCGAGTAGCAGTGGTCAACCCCAACGCTCGGTTCGTTGGTCAACGTGTCAACCAGGGGTGCCACACAGAATTTACCGTACGGTGCTCGGCAATGGTCCTCTACCACTTTTTTGGGGACTTGTAGGGAAAAAACTTCGGCTGGTGCGACCGCTGGTGCTTGACGACACTAAATTGCTAGGTATCTAGGATCCCATGCCGGGGGTACTAAAGCCTTTTCTTATGGATTAAGGTGTCGGCGGTGTATCGATAATTTTTGTAATTTGTATTCAAATACCGGTAGTAATCGAATCCTAGGGAGCTTGGTAGTAGCCCCCAAGTATCACGCCCGTGGCATCCCTTTTCTTGTGAATTAAGCCTCAGAGGGAAGCTATTGCGAGGAGGTGACGTGCGCAGTTGGTCGCTCGGTCTGAGTCTGACTTTCGAAACACTGGCGTCCAAAAGCCATCATCGGGCAGGCCTGCAGGCAGTACTTTCCACTCTGGAGCTCCCAATGAATTACGGTAGTGTGTCCACGTCAAGGTCTTTCATCCAGATCGGGGGATTCGTTGAGCAGACTGTACTGTCGTTTGAGAATGTATGGTATCGTATCGCAGACTTTGATAGATTTCACACCAGCACCAGTAAGCGGCAGTCCGATATTACAATTAGCTTAATGCTTTTCGGTGATCCCGCGCGGAGTCGAAGCGAAAGTTGCCTCAAGGTTGTCGACATAAATACCACCAGAGCAAATCCATAGGCGATTAGAACTTTATTGAGTACTCCGGTAGATGCACGAATTCTGCGGGAGTGGCTTCGGGACCGATCGGAACACCCTGGGTGTTGTTCGGTGTTAGACGGGGATTATCGCCGGATTCCACTTCGGAAGATTGGGAGAAAACAAGTGCTCCCGTATTTATTAAAACATTCGAGTGACGCAGAGTAGTAATCCAGTCCAAGGTGTTTAAACGTGCTAAATTATTTACACGTCGAGCGTATCCCAGTACATGAGCAGTCATCGCGGCGGCTCTCATGTGGATGATAGTAAGTCTGGTAGAGGCCACCATGTAATTCCGGTTAGGTAGGGGCTAAGTTTGGAGCCGGAAATGAGTGCCACAGCGGTTCACATGTTTGCAGTCACTGGCAATCAGAATTTCTGCCTCCTAAGATAAATAATTGTATCTTGGGCCACCGGGCTCGAGAGGAAATGCTAGCGGCGTGGAGTCGTCGTAGAATGGCTTGATAAATGGGGACTGCGAACCTCCTTCATTTGCGCTCTTTATGCGAGACTCAGGGCTCTTTGGTTCATCCTTCAGTTATCCGAATGCTAACACAGTCTCCTCGGGCCGCTCGTCGTAGTGTGGATATCAAATTCTGATGTAGAGCATCTGGTGTTCAATATATTTTGCGAAACTCAGGGGACAACGGTGAGTAGGATAATTCATAATGCCTCCTCGGTAGATTTTTCTGGAGAATCAAATCCGATTGTAATACTCATCGGTCAGTAAAATCTCGGAAACCCCGGATAAATGGTCTTACATGATCAGAAAGCCGGCCAAAATTTAGTGGCTTGCTTCAAAGACTTAGACCCTAGCATCATAATAGTTGTATGAACACAGATAGAATAAGAGAAGAAGCTGGGCAAGAAGACACTAAAGTTTGGAAGAGATACTGGTGAAGAATAGCTTGGAAAGGCTTCGACGAGATGTGTGGTAGGTCCAGCGAAGGTTGAAACTGGCGTGGGACCGGGCGAATCGATCCAACTTTAACGGAGCCGGAGCGTCTGATGAGAAGTAACAGCTAGCACTTGAGGGGTAGGGGTGACTCGAGGGGCAGAGCTAATATGTTTCAAGTGCTCCTTGGCCTGCTTGTGCCACCACTTTGAGTTCATATACCACAAGTACCGATATCCTCCGTCCACAGGCCAGCTTCTCCATGCCTTTAAGCAGTGAATGGTAAATTCGGAATCTGCTCCTGCGCATCCTCAAAACCCTGCGTGTAGCCGGTGCCCTGGATATTTGAATTCCTGCGCATCTGGTCTGGATGAAAGAATTGGTTGCTAGTTGAGAGATGTTATCAATAATACCGGAACAAAGATGAGTGTTCAACAGCAGTTCAAACGGCAAATCCGCCTAACGTCAACGGGTCCAGCCCAATTTTTGCTGGGTTCCCATCTCCACCGATACAAGCCAGATACAAGTTGGGGAGCCTGCTTGGATAGGGCATTACCTTGCATGCGCTTGATATGTACGTGAACGCGAACCGTGGTCATTTCTGATCGAAAAAGTAGACATGCAGACTCGAATGCGGGGAGAAACGGTAACGATTTCCTTGTTCAGCCCTGTTGGGTTTGAGCACTCCTATCCTGAGCCGCGGTGTAAGGGAAAAGTTGTAACTTTATTTCCCTCTCCCATGGCTCATGATCTTGGGGTGGGAAAAAATAAAGTCCATTTATCCCCGTGGAGCCAATGCAATGAGAGGAGCTGCGGACTGAGGCCCGGAAAAGCGCCAGTGTGCTGGTGATGGCTGCGGTTTATTCGGACGAATCGGCGCCAAGCTGGGTGAGAAACCGTGCGGAATAGTTCGGATTTAACAAGTCAGTTGTCTTTGAGAACCTTACCTTTCCCTCAACAGCCGGCCCGTTCTGCTCATCGTGCTCGCCCACTCAATACCAAAATCCGCAGCATCGCGGAGGGGGAGCCAGATATCTGGTGTAACACAAAACAGTCAAAAAATTCCGCCGCAGAACATGAGTTCGAGTACTAATGACCCGTATTGTTTCGAATCCTGTGCTATAATGGGGTTGGTGAGCCTCCCCAGATTTGAGATGCTGTTGAGGCATTACTGAGAACTTTTGGTGGCTTTAGAGATCCTTCTTACCACAGGCACAATATGCTTGCCGATGAAGATTCCTCGCCATCCCCTAAGGTAGTCGACAGTTTTGGAGGAAAGTGGGGATTGTGGTCCTAAACGCTATCTTTATGGATTCCCCCAAAGCTATATTCGGTGGGTGGAGGAGGTAGAACGCTGGGAGGCTGAGAACCTTCTCCGGACCCTGGGAGCAATAATCGTTTCTATGGTTCTCAGGCGCGAGTGCTCGAGGAGAAGAACCTGGCCGATCCTGCCACTGGGAGGACATGGTACACGTTGATGACGGTACCCTAACTTGCATTGGTATAGCATCAGGATCTTTAAAAGATCACACCCGAAAAGCTTTGGTACTATTCCCTCCTGTTATATCGGACAACGTGTTTGAGAGAACAGCTGCAAAACACCCTCTCGTCTTTCAGCGGTGCCAAACGAGACCAAGGGCCCCGTGGACCCTAGAGAAGTGCTCACATCGTGTGATGAACTCAGCTAATATCGAGCAATCGGGACCTCCCAAGAAGCTAGTGGCGTCGGAGATTAGGGGTTTATGGTGTGAGATAGCGACAAGTAGGGTCCGGCTTGCGCATCCGGCTTCTCTCGATGCATGTCACAACCTCCCCAACCCAAATCAACCATCACCCCTATTGATGTGACGATAAAAACTACCAACCGGGACACTACCCACCTGAAAATGGTATCAGCTCAGATCACTCCAAGGGCACTCGGAAGCATACTATGAAACATGCCCTTGTAGAGGCAAATCCTCCGGATAGTGAGTCGTATTTAAGCTCTCGATAGCAATCAGGTGCTACATATCCAGAAAGGACCGGTTTGTCTACTGGGGAACACACAGGAAGATATTTATGACTGGGAGGGAAGGAATGGCAAAAGAGACAGGATGTTGCGGGCGGAGAGTGAGGTTGCACGTCGCATGGGTGCGTGGGCCCCTGCCTTGGATTTTCCGGGACGGAATAACGTATCTCCAGGAATTGCATACAACCTCTAGATGATGTCCCGTCAGTCCATGATATGTACCTATCCCGTGCGTTTCCGGCTGTCCTATCAATCTATTGACCCATAGAAGATTACCGAACAGAACCGCGGTTCAGCGGGCAACTGACGCCAGGTATCCGCAGACTTTCCATTCTCTGCAGGGCTTATGAAATCACTGGAAAGCATTTATTGGCACTACTCTGCCTAGAGCCTGATAGAAAATCCACTTTTATCGGTTAGATCCATGAATTCACGCACTCACCCAGGGCCTCCCCGTCGGTATTGAGAGCTCGTCTGCCGAATCCGCTTCCCTTGCTGGCCACCGCACTCTTGATCTGTCCCATGCTAGTGGCTCGTGTCTCGCTTTTCAGGATCAAGGATTGGGTTTCGAGAGCCTTTTCGGGATCTCCCCATCGGCTTTTACCCCTTTGTTCGGGAGGAACCCCCTTTGGGGTTTATCCTCATCCAAATCCCCCGGGCAATCCAGCAAGTTCACTGTTGAGCTTACCCTTCTCGATCGGATATCAGATGCTAACGTTTCGTTCCTATTACACGCCTGGAATTAATGTGCAATTGTGTAAGGGGCAACCCAGGAGCCCTGGTTTGTTTGCACTCAAGAGCTAGCAGATGTGGGTTTGGTGGTGAATTTTTCCTGACACTTGCATCATACCCGGTATCTTATCAACCCTGCATAGAATTTGCTTCTAATGAGGTCATCTCCGCCATGGGGGATATATTTCACACTTCTGTCACTCTCGGGGCTTTCACTTTATCATCTTGTATTCCTAGGTATAGAAACGAAGTTTAGTAGAGGGTATTTTTGTGGAAGACAAAGCCTGTTCAAAACTCAGGAGAGATACTATTGAAGTTGCGTAAGCCTCGTGGGGCTGCGGTAGATCTCCAACGTACTGTACAGAAGTGGGCTCACCTAAAGCAGTCGAGTCCGGAAAGAAGACAGGGTTCGGTTAGTATTGGCCAACCAGGAGAGGCATCATACTGCCGCCCCGGCATGGGACCCCTCGCGGAACAATGTCCTAGAGGCGAGCCAACTCCAACCCCGCCTGTCCCGCAAGAGGGGCATTTCTAGCAGGCACGCTCGGGTTCGTTTCTTTTATTCTCTAAATAAAATTTATACTAACCGAATTGCCTTTCTTAGCTCAAAACGGCTGGGCTCGGTAGGCGCTGACTTATTCGTCGGAACTGAATCGCGAGTAACCACCCGGGACTTAACCATGGTAGCAAAGTGAACTCACATCACTATCAGAAAAATTCCTGGTCAGTGGTCAGAAAGAGGGCGAAACAATACACAAGAAGCAATGATAAAGGCGCAACCCGATCAAGAGCGCTTTTATTTCCTTGAGTGCTAGCAGCCACAAGATCTGTGATTATTGGATACTTGGCCATTGGTATAGAGTTATGGTAATCGTTTATTCCCTCTCTGGGATAAAAAGGGAAAAGAAAAAAAGAGCTAACCCAAACAGCATATCGTTGCAATGAGGTGCCCTTGGCTGCCTACCGATACCGGGCTCTATTCTCTGCTTCGCTGGAGGGTAGGTGGGCGGCGCTCTTGGATGTTCTGCAGGATCATGTATTGGGCAAACCCCTCGAACCACCCGGCGGACGGATCCAGATATTTAGTTCATTGATAGTACGGGGTCACAATGTTAGTATTGAATTCGTGAGTAGTTCCACTTGTTTATACATCTCAGCTTTCTGATTTCTAAATAGGTTGCTAAAGCAGGGGTAATCCCCTTTTGATCTGAGTCCTGGGTACCTGGACTGCCATTCCCTTTGGTCTTCCGTTTCTACTAAAGGTCTTTGCTCTGGCGAAACCAAGTTTATCCCCCCATGTTCTAAGATATCTCCAGCGATAGGATTGATCTGCTTAATATTCATCGTAATTACTTGGCGGTAATCCCAAATATGGCTCATATGGGTTAAGATTTTGGAAGGTTCCAGGTCCGAAGAAGGAATACCTGGTTGAGGGCACTACCGGAAGATTTCTAGGCTTCTGGTCCATTCCGATATATGCAGCATTTGCTTGAGGAGGTAGGTTCCATTTTGAGCTAAAGTAGTTAACCTATATCTAGATGAGGGTAACAACACTAACGCTTCCATGAACAACCTAGGCCCCGATACTGATGATGATACCCGGGGAGGTTCAGGACCCGCGCAGAAATACCTCGACCGCAACCAAGAAGGACTATATTCATATCCGCTTTCCCCATTACCTCGTGGGCGTATTATATGCGGGCATTATCTGCTCTTCTAATGGTCCAACACTTCTTCCCACTCTGGATGGTGGAAAAGCTGGAAGTGATGCTAGTACTCGGGCGATTGGTATTGAAAGGATGGGTATTAACTTTAGAGGTTGGGCCTATCTCATTAATCCTACGGTCATGACTTCGACGTCGCCGTGTGTAAATGCTTAACTACAGTCTCATTACAATCGCCTCGGCTTGGGCTACTATAGCCCCTCCTTTTTAACACATTATGTGTTGGTATTATAGATATATCCATTTCTCGAGCCGAACCCCATACGCTCCAGCAACAAGCAACAAAACATCCAAAAAGTTCAAAGAGTGACTGGGAAAGGGTATTCTGATATATTATGTGTTTTTTGTCGCACCCATCTCGTTGATATTATTGTTCAGCGTTATTAATTCCACTAGCACTGCATCCGGGTGGCCTAGTAACACCCGTAACTACTGTGATAGTGGAGCTGAACTAATTTGCAGGGTGCATAATGCTCGCTAACCTCGGCACTGTTAGCTTCTTATAATCCTGCACGATTATTTCTATGACCTATATTCGACCCCGAGCGAGCCCTGAAATTCTGCCACCTGAAATCACAACTTCCTCTCATCTTTCTAGAAGAAATGCGAGTACTGTACAAGGGGTACGGGTGAAAAATATTTGCCATAGAGCACCGTTTCATCTTTAACTAGATGCAATAGATGTTGGAAGACCCTCTATTTCCTCATTCCCGAGAACTTAACGCGGAATCCTTGGTGCCCTGGCTGGGATTGGTGAATTAAAACTTGGCGATTGATTAGAGCTCTGTAAACAAGTCATGTGTTGATTTACAAAGCGCGGTTTTGGCTATTCAATACCCGGGGCCGCCCAACGACCTTCCCACGAGTGGGGCATACCAGCACGGATGCTTCCCAGTCGTGCTGATTCGGCTACAGACACACTCCTCAGGACCGCGCAGTTAGGTTCATCATTAGAATGGGTGGCAGTTATGCCAGTTAAAATTATGATTTCGATCACCACTCAACCCGGCGTTACCCCATAGTCAAATACGCATAATTCGGGGCTTCACTACAAATCGAAAACCGGGATCCCCGGAGTGCGCCATTCATACTGGTGTTTATAGCCTCAAGCATCTCGACCTAGGGAGAAAAATACCGAACAACACTAGCCACACGTCAAGACTCCGCCGCTCCGCCGGTAAGCAGCGAACTTGAATGATATCCTCAGGGAAGAGTTTTTTTTTCCTGCTTTTATTAGAATTCTCCTTCGCTCGCGAGTCCGCCATGGATACGTGATAGCTCATGCGATGGAGGGGGTTCGTCAATGGTCCGGGCACTGACACCTGATAGATGAGCCGCTGGATGTAGCTCCCATATTTTGCTGTGTAAGGAGAGGTTGCGTCACGGCACTCAGTGGTTAGCTAGTGGTTCGGCGAGTTTGTATATTGGTCAGTTGCCCTGGTAAGTGGGGACAAATGTTGATTGAAGGAACTCACCTCTCTTTTGCAGATCGCGCGTGCTGCTATTCCAGGTGGTGATACCTGCGAGGTTCATGGATTATCACAGGTGTGTGAAAAGGCTCCTTGTATAAGGGGGACTCTCCCTTTCTCCTGTCGTGTGGTACAGTACTATCAGAGTACACCCCTTAGTCTTCAAAAAGCATATTCTGTATCCTTGGAAAATGGCTCCTACTACGACCTTACCGGCCTCCTGGTTCTAGAGCACCCCCCTCTATCAATTGGAGAGAAGAGCGATATTTCTGAATGTGCACAACAGTCCCGCTTTGTTCCCCCTCATAACTCTACTTTATACTAGAATTGCTAACAATTACAGCCTCTTGAGAAGGCGTGGCATTTTGTAGGGCCTGTCACACGATTCGTGGAACGAGGTGAAAAAGTGTACTACGAAATCGCCCAGGTCAAATTCTATGTCGTCAGCACAAGCCCTGAGGGCACTGGATGGGGCACCGATGGAATAGAAGTGCGCCGTGAGAGTCCCGTAGCTTCACAACAACTACAGTTAGTAACCTAACATGTTCGGACGATCACGGCCTGGAGGACACCTCTGTCCATGTGCGAGTACATTTCACTTCAAGTGGCCTAGTCTTCATCACGCTGTCATCGGATTCACTGCCCTTTAAAGAATTCTTTCCGGATCTCGAACTTCTTTTATCAAAGGTAGATTTCACCAAGTTAAAGTATCGCCGGAGCATTTCCTACGAAGGTGGCTTCAACTGGAAGACTATGTGCACATTCCCCTCGCCATATCCATAGACTGGCCAACTGACGGCCCCCCGCAGGATGGACGACTACCAAGAATGTCTTCATTGCCAATACGCCCACCCGTCCTTCACCAAACTCTACCCACCTACTTTCTACACAATTCAGAACCATGGGAACTTTTGCAGACACATTACCAATCCCAGGAAGGTACGCACCCCCTACACTCCTGTCGCCCCAAGATCACCAGGACCCACCCCCGACTCGCGAAAGCCCGAGGATGGACTATTTCTCTATTTCTTCCCGATCTGCACACTAAACTTAAGTCCCCAGTCTCTCCAGTGGACTATCGATCTAACACATCCCAGGTCTACGGCGGCGGCATGTCCTCATTCCGCGCATGCCCAATGCCAGACCCCACTGTCTGAAGAATGGAGTTCGACTATTACTACAACGGAGAAGACGAAGCCTTTGAGGAGTACTTCAAGTTCGTGAGACAAGTTGCGTTGGAGGATTACGAGTTGTGCGTTGCTGCACAACAAAATCTCTAGAGAGGTGTGTATGTGGAAGGGGTGCTAAACCCCGAGAAGGAAAGCGGAGTGATATGTGGGTCTACTCTATATCCACCAAGTTGATGATTAACACCAGTCTGCCTACTTAGATTACCAACAACTGGTCAGAAATCTAGTCCTAGAAAAGTACAAAGCCGAGAGGGCGGAAGCAGGGGAGGAGGCAGCAAACGACAGCACCTCCCGCGTTTCCGCAGTTAATCAAGCACCACCGGGGCCCTCCGGGTCGACAACAGTCGGCGTCGGAGCTTGATCTCTTTTTCAGGCGGGAAGTCCGCCCGAGCGATCCTCTATTGCCGCCTGCTGGGAATGGACAATTCTCGCGTAAATAGAGTTACTCGATACTATTTTCGCATTAGTCCTTCGATCCTTTTTTACCCCGGAAAAGTAACTGGTGAATGGAAGATATTCGATCCATTGTGCTATGGGCGGCCGGCCCCCGACTTGCCATGGCATCGCACAAGTAGAGTACTGTGGAGCGCGGATTCAGACCCGTGGTCCCAGGCGCAGGTGTTCGTACTTTGACCATGATGCTTAGTCGCCGAGCATTCGTTGACAGTTTAGTGGTGGGATAGCAGAATTTTGATCTCTTCAGCGACTCGGTGAAAATAGCGGGTGAGGTGTAATAACGATTCCCCTTAAAGTAGCAGTCACGATCAATACAAGTGCGTTTCCCTCCGGCGCTTCCTACGCTTGGCTTCTGTTCGCCTCTCTGCATTTTTTTTTCGGATCCTAATCCCCCAAATTACCCTATACTCTTCAACATCTCGAACGGTGGCAGTGGCCCACCGGTATCCGTCCCTCTCTCACCTCTTCCCTCTAGGGTCCGGACATCTTCCGTTCCAGAGTCAACCCACCCACCCCGCCCGTCACACCAATTGCGACACAACCTATCCCCTTGACAGCGCCCACAAAAGAGCGCATACCGAGTAGGCGCCTCTAGAGTGCCCACCTAGTATCATAGCCTTCACTTTACTCGTATGGTACTCTAACTTTCGCTTCACTCATTTGTCATGCGGGGCCTACGTCTGCAGTATAAAGTAAAGACATGTCCTTCTATTGCAATCACCCACTAGCCCCCACTGAACGCAACATCCATCCATCCATCCACCAATCGAACCACCACACTGCAGCCCAGCTATGATAGCGGAGCCATCCATCTATCCATCACGGGCCCTCAACGGGGCTCGTGTTCAAATCTCCCCGTGCAGGAACTGCAGGGTGTAACTTGGGAGACCATCTTACTAACACTGTGCGGCAGTTACCCCCCCACCACACTTCACTCTACCCCACGGCACTCTACTGAAGCGTACTGCGCGGACCGGGTTAGGCTAGGCTAGGCTAGACTAGACCAGACTAGACGTCACCGGTAGTTAACATAAGCCATGCACGATAGGCTGAACCGTCCACGGCTACTCAGCGCTCGTACAGCACTCGTATGTACCAGCTATGTGTAGTGTGCCGCACCGTCCCATCCTACTCCATTTCAATCAATCACGCAAGTAACGAACTCAACTGTTCGATCCGGCGGCAGCTACCCGCGTGCCTGCAGATGTCCGACGTTGCAGTGTAACTTACCGTATTTCTCTTGCGTGAAGTGGGACCATCATATCGTCATACCATCGTGCCATCGTGCCACGGGTCCCCGGCTTTCCTTCCTTCCTTCCTCCCTCCCTCCCTCCCGTCCACGATAGGGTCCAGAAGGCTCGTATCTCGGAAGGGAAGTGTCTTCGAGTCTACGCATCCATTACTCGTGCAGTACACTGCGCAACTCGGGAAAACCGAATGATCTCCTGTGTCGTACTATACCATACACTTCCGTTTGCAAAGTTCTACGAGTGGTACCCGGAGGCAAATACCTGCGGTGGTGGTGTCGTCATGAGTAGTGATATATCGTATAGCAAGCAGCCGGAGAGAAAATATACAAGTTACTCGAGTTCGACCATCTTGGGAATTATATAATTTTTTTTTTAAGACGCCCGTAACGAACACACCGCAGTCACACCTCCCTCCACCCGCGCAGGGAGAGCACACACACAAAGCTCTATGGGTGTTGGCGAGCGGGCCTCACATCGAGCGGCAGCTTGGAGTTAGAATGTGCCCGTTTCAAGTTCTCCGAGTTACATTTTTCGAGTATTGATACCGTATTCGATACATCACTCACCGTACCGTGCACTGCCACAGCTACCGTATGCCTCCTGTGACTCGGACGCCCGCGGATAGGAGCGTGCTCAAGGACATTCAATACGAAGCAGCTCGCACAAGTTACATACCACGGCATGCCGTCCGGACGCTGCTATCCGCTTCGTTACCTCTACAAGTACAGTCCTGCGCCGCACCCGTAGCGGATCAGCGGGAAGCGGTTCTTCCGCTTCTAAACGAGTACTGGCACTTGTGCGGTACAGGTCCGCAGCTCGTATCTGTCTTATTGGCGGGTACGTACGAGTACATGTTGGTAGCGACTATTAACTTGAGCATCATCTGATATCGTGCGCTGGGTGGATACGCTACGGTGATACAAGTAGAGTACATACTTGGAGACTCGTGCTTATTTCATTCGAGAAGGTTGTACGAGTGCTCGAGTACCGTACATACAATACCGGTATTTTTTTTGTGGTGGTGGGGTGGGGTGGTACGTGCGCTGTGCGTTTTTGGGGGGTGGCAGATGGATCATGACAAGGGTTAGACATGTATTATCAGTGGTACGGTACGGTAAAGATGGAGCAAGGGGTACAAGTACCGGTACCCGTATTTACTCGTTAAATCCAACTATCTCAGGACACCCCCTCTCTCCTATCTCCAGGTTCTGAGACAAAGGCCCCCGAGAAGGATTAGCGTTTTCCTGACACCGTACTGTACGGTACGGTACTTGTATAGCATTAGCCCATGGAATGTGTTGGATCTCGTTAACTGGTATTTGCATATTCTGCTGACCTGTAGAACTAAACCCCCCTCAGGGACTTTTTGACCGGGGATCCGGTGATTTTTCAAGAACTGCCCGAGATGGTGGATTCAGCGAGTAAATACGGTAATTATTGACGTTGGTCGGAATTAGTAGTGTTTCTCTTGTGCACTGCTACTACTACTACTACTGAGATCTTGGTTCGGAATAGCACCACCGCATCGCACTTTGATGTGTGGCACGATACCTGCTAGGAATGGGTTAGACGGAGCCCAGCTCTTTTTTTTTTTCTTACTTTTTTTTTTTTTTTTTGTTCTGGGGGAGGAGAAAATGGGATCAAGGGCTATGAGTGAAGTTAGTTTCACTCTCTGTACTAGTACTGGATGTTCTCGAGTGCATGCATCATACTCGGTCGCCGAGGGCTGTGGTACCGAGAACTGTACAGTACATCACCGGTGCACCGCATGGTGTGTGTTCTGTGTTCTGTGCTCTGGATTGGATCATAGGGCTCGGGGGGGGATGGGGGGGGGGGGGTTCATTCGCCGATCACCAGTCAAGCCGACAGTTCCACAATTCCATCTTCTGGTGCTCTCCACCAGAATCGCAGCTATACATCGTCAATTCTAATATACGGTAGAGCACTCGAGCGCAGCGCAGTGCCCATGGATAAACAGCGCTACCACAATCCGGTACATTGATCCCGGACAATACGAGGAGAAGGTTAAATTTGAAGAGCCATGGTACCATGTAGTCCAGGATACTCGAGCCCGATACATAGATAGATAAAGTACTAGGACAAAAGGGATCGTCCAATTGGTGGTTACCAGACAACACCTCAAAAACCCCACCTCCTTAATCAACCACTCCTCAACAACCATGCCTCTCAAAAAGACAGGCTACCTTACAGAGTTTGAGAGAAGGCAAATTTTTGCTCCAAGGAAGTAAAATATTGCTTTTTCA